CCCCCCCCCCCAAAACAACAAATAAAATTAAGGAAATAGGGAGGCGGAGTGCCGCATGCTGTGATCCCCTGCTACTCAGGAGGCTGAGGCAGGAGGACTCAGTTCAAGGCCAGCCTGGGCAAGTTAGCACAGTGGTACCTCGGTTCACAAACTTAATTCTTTCCACCATTCTGGTTGCAAACTAAATTGGACGAGAACCGAATCAAATTTCCGCATAAGGTCAACATTGAACCTAACCACTGAATTTGATTTGGTTCTCATCCAATTTGGTTTGTGACCAGAATCATGGAAAGAATTAAGTTCCTGAACCAAGGTACCACTGTATCATCCTGTCTCAGAATAACAGGGCTGGGAAGCAGCTCAGTGGTCAAGCGCTTGCCTAGCATGTGTGAGGTCCTGGGTTCTATCCCCAGCACAGCTCAAAAACAAAAAAAAAAGAAAGGAAAGTTTTCATATAATAAACCTGGATCTTCAGGGTTTACATGGCAGGGCAAGTCAGTGGCCAATGGAAGCATGAAAGATCCTGGCTCTTGGGTAAGGGATTGTAGCTGTGCAACCCGCTGGCTGTTTTTGAGATACAAACTGAAGATCTAGGGCTGGGGATTTACCTCAGTGGTTTCGCCACCTGCTTCGAAAGCACAAGGACCTGAGTTTGATCCCTGGTACCCCCCCAAAACCCCAAAACAAACTGAAGATCTAGGGTAAACTATATGAACTTCTGTTACATGCTTTCACATGGTTCACGTGTATGTATATATATAAGGAACTATTAAGCAAACTGTGCGAACATTAACTGCTGAAACTTTGTAAAGATGTCAGTGTTCACTGTATCAGTCTGTTTTTGTTTTTTTGAGACGTCTCACTTTGTAGTCCAGGCTGGCCTCAAACTCATGGCAACCTTTCTGCCTCAGCCTCCTGACTGCTGGGATTACAGGGGTGTGCCACTATGCCTGGCTCATTATATTATTCTTTCTCCTTGGTGGGGGTGTTGAGACAGGGTCTCACTGTGTAATCTGGCCCGGCCTCTTAACTTGTGATTGTCCTGCCTTAGTTGTCTGAGTGCTGGGAATACCCACGTGTGACACCTGGCAAACCAGAGCTGCTTTGCTTGGACCCAAGGGCTTGTGCGTGCTAGGAAGTGTGCTACCACTGAGCTCAGTCCTCAGCGCCCATGTCCTTTAAAAATGAAATAAATTGGACCGGGGATTTAGCTCAGTGGTTCCACCAACTGCCTTGCAACTGCAAGGTCTCAAGTTCGATCCCCTGTAGCAAAAAATAAACAAATAAAATAAAATAAAAATTTGCTGTATCTTTTGATAAGACCACATAAAACAGGATGAGTAAGAGAAACTTGCTGGATTTTCTGAAGGACCAAGCAAATTGGTAGGTGAGGACCAGCAACGTATGAAATACACCTGAGGCACCATGTCTCTGCATACTGAAAAGCGAGCAGAACTGTCACTTGGGGAAGGCCTTGAGGTGGCTGGTTCTGGGGACAGCAGGCGCAGCAGGGGCTCCCCCGCCCTGGCCACAGACTTGGGGACACAGTGCACTCCCGCTCGCACTTTATTAAGTACGGAGGACTGGTTATAGTGGGTGGAGGTGGCGGAGAGGCCCAGCCCCAACCCCCATGTCACTGGCACACAATAATAAATAAACAAACAAATAAATAGCTGGGAGTGGGCATGGGGACTGGCAAGGTGGCGCAGCAAACACTGGCTACACAGGGACATCACAGTCCCCTCCGGAGCTGCAGCCACCAACACTGGATGGGATCAGGGAGGGAGGGCTCTGAGCCCCAGCAGTCCCAGGGCCACTGAGTGAGTGAGGTCACAATCTCCAGGGAAGAAGAGGTCCCCACACCCAGTCCCTTATTTATTGACTGAAATCAACCCTGGCTGGTCTAGTGGGACGGACTGTCAAGAGGCCACTGTCACTCGGACTCCTGAAATTGTTCTCTTTAGGATCTGAGAGACCAGTGGGTATTACTTGAAGGCCAGATGGGTCCACCCAGGACCTAGGACATGCAAGGGTCATTGTTATTTAGCTCCTATTTGGTCCACTCAAGATCTGGCCTCAGTGAGCCACTGCCACTTAGCCTTGACTGGTCCACTCAGGACAATAACTGTGTGGCTACCTTGACCTCCAATCGGCCCACAAGCCAAAGGCCAGGACCCAGGGGCAGGCAGGGCTCAGGAGTTCCCAGGGACGGGAGGGGACCAAAGGCCCAGGGCAGGGGAAAATCTTCAGTTGGCATCAAGACCCATATTCAGGGAGGGGAGGGAACAAGGGAGGAAACAAGGCCACCTGGCTGGGTCAGGCCAGGGTGAATCCCCAAGCCGCAGGGGCAGCTTCCGGAACAGCAGAGTGCTCAGCCACTGCTGGGAGGGGGCACAAAGGTCTTCACACCTTCCTGCGTGGCAGCTCCACCAGGGCCCCAAAACCGGGGCGAGGGAGCTCATAGTGCTTAACGAGACTCATGACCCATCACTTCCATCTATGGGATCAGGGGGTCGGGAGGCTGTGGCTACAGCTGCAGATCAGGCGGGTTCAGTCCTCCAGCCCCCCCATCAAGTCCGCGATGCTCTCCACATAGTAATGGGGCACAAGGTCATGCTTGCCGGCTGCCAGGTAGGCCTGGGCCTCCTCCAGGCGGGACACACCCGTGAGCGTGAGCACGGTGGTCATGCCGCAGCGGTGGCCAAAGAGGATGTCGGTCTCCAGGCGGTCCCCCACCATGAGCATGTGGGCGGGGTCCAGGCTGAAGTGCTCTGTGATACACTCGAACATGTAGGGGCTGGGCTTGCCCACCACCAGGGCCTGGCGCCCCGAGGCCGTCTCCACTGCAGCGGCCAGGCTCCCAGTCCCTGTGGGGAGATAGGAGAGTAGTCAGCAGGAAGGCAGCTGCAATAGCATCAGGGCCCAGAAATGGAACTCCAGGGCACCTAAGGCCAAGCACTGTCATGAGGCCCAGGCCTGGTCCCAGGTCTCAGGGTGGGTGGGGGTGAAGAGGACAGACCCTGCCATCAGATCCCTGGTTTCAGACTCCATCCCCACAGTCTTGGGCAGGCTGGTTAACCTGCAGTGCCTCAGTTTCCCCAAGTCTCCTATGAAGACATCGAGGCACTTACCTCCTGTGGACTCACTGCAGGGGACAGGCTCCATCCTGTCTGAGGCCCTGGGCTTGACTCTGCCCTGGCAGCTGTGTGCCTTCGGGCAAGCTGCTCACCCTCTCTGAGTTTCCCTAGACTGCAAAATGGGGATTCAGCTAACACCTATCCTCAAAGGGGCACTCTGGGCATCACAGAGCCAGGGCTTTGAAAAGAGAAAAAGGCTTGGCAGACAGTGGTTGTGGTTATTGCTACAGAAGCCATGTCCCTGGCAACAGGAACTGGCACTGCCCCTCTGGAATGCAGCAGGGCACAGAAATATTCACACCTCTGACCCAGTCGATATCCATGGTGAAAGCGATTCCAAGAAAAGAATTCCAACCAGACACAAGAAAGGTCCCGCTCAAGATGTCTGTGGTGACAAACGCCTCAGACAGTGCCCGAGTGTCTAACAGTGGGAGGACGTTTGGAAAAGGAGAGCCCTGTTCCCAGCCCAGTACTGTCCTGCTGGAACAATGAGCCCACTGTGCGGGTCCCATGGGCACGTCTTTGTGCCAGAACATTTTCCCTTCACATTAATGTCCCCAACCAGATAATAATGATGAAGAACACCATTTATTTATTAATTAATTTTTTTGGTACCGGGGATTGAACTCGGGTCCCTGAACTTGCGCAGCAGGCGGCAAAACCACTGAGCTAAATCCCCGCCCAAGAACGCCACTTATTAAGCCATTCTAACCCACCAAGGGCTGTGCTAGGTATTCTCAAAAGCCCATTTTACAGATGAGAAAGCCAAGGCTCAGTAACATTAAGTAATCTCACCTGAGTTGCCTGTTTTTTGTTTGTTTTTTTTTTGGTACCAGGGATCGAACTTGGGACCTTACGCTTGTGAGGCAGGCAGCAGAACCACAGAGCTAAATCCCCAGCTCCTTGGGTTGCCTGTTAAAGGACAGCAAACAGACCTGTATCCAAAGCTGGGTATGATGAGGCAGAAGGGTGGGGAATTTGAGTCTGGCCTGGACTACATAGTGACACTCAGTCTCAAAAAAGAAAAGAAAAAAGCACCGAGATTAGGTCAGTATGACTCAGTTGTGGAAAGGCTTGGGAATGTGAACTTTCATTTTCAGGAATTCTGTGAGCTGGTTTTTGTTTGTTTTTGAAAAAGGGTCTCATTAGGGTTGCTTTTTTTCAGACAAGAGTTCTCATTATGTGGTTCAGGCTGGTCTTGAATTCACTATCAAATTCAAGGCAATCCTCCTGCCTCAGCTTCCTGAGTGCTAGGACCGCAGGCTGTGCCACCGACTGACCTATAAATTTACAATTAAACAAAGGCAACAGATTCTCAGCACTCATGATTTCCTAATTCCTGTACCACACTGCCCTGGAGGTCATTTCTACCTGCAAAGGTGGAAATGCCTCCCAGCTCCTCGTTCAGTGAGGTCGTGGCCACAGCAGGCGTCCAGACCGTTTCTCAGCACACAACTGGCCAGACCGTTGCACTCTGGGCCTCCTCTCCCCCTTCTTTTATTTTTTGGTACTGGGGATCGAACGCAGGACCTTGACCTTTGGAGGCAGACGAGGGGCCATTGAGCTAAATCCCCGGCCCTCCTCTCCCCCTCTTCACAGCCAATGACACTTCCCTTGTGAAGCTCAAGGCATAGAAAAAGAGGGTGAGTGGGGATGTGAGAATCCCCATGGCCCCTGACAAGAAGAAAGGCATTTCTCCAACGCCACGGGGCTGGGGCCGAAAGGCTCAGGGCAACCCTGCTGGAAAGCTCCCTGGGACATCCGCCCCAGAATCGCTTGCTGCACCCCTCACCGGGCCCTGAGCAGCAAAGTCAGGGCCTTAAACACACTAGATAAGCACTCTCGTATATACCAGCTACACCCCAGCCTCCCCTTTCTTTTCACAAAATTTTGAGATAAGGTCCCTCTGAGTTGCTAAGGCTGGCCTTCAATTTACAATCCTCTGGCCTCAGCCTCCTAAATAGCTAAGATTACAGCCCTGCACCATCTTGTCTGGTTTTTGTTTTTGTTTTGTACTGAAGAGCCAACCCCAGCCCTTTTTTATTTCTAGGTAAACAAAGCTAAGTTGCTAAATTGTCCAAGATGGGCTTAAACTTGTAGTCCTCCTGCCTCAACCTTCCAGAGCGTTGGGAATGCAGGCCTGGGTCACCATGCTTGGCCACACTGGTGCTTTGTTTCTGGTGCTGAGAACTGAACCGAGGGCTGAGCACACTCTAAGCATGAGCTCTACCCCTAAGAGCCACACACACACACACACACACACACGTCTGCTTGTTTGCCTAAGAATCACAACCAGGGCTTGATCCTTGGTACCAAAAAAAAAAGAATCACAACCATTTGCCCCAGTGGTCTCCACTGAGTCACCCCAAAACGTTTTCCTCAGCTCCCCAGTGGCCCCAGCTCTGTCGGCCTAGCAGGATGGAGCTGATTACTCTCTGGCCCCCAGGTCTCACTTTCTTCATTCAGTTACAGTTCACAGAGGCCCACCTGCACACCAGACACAGAGGGCAGAGCAGCCCTGGCAGTAAAGGAACTTCCCCCCAGCCCACAATCACCCAGCTGAGCCTGAGGCAAGGTATCCTGATAACATGGTCCTAAAACAGGGACATTTCTACTTCCCAGCTCGTGTGACTGCTGTGTGGCACAGGGTTAACACACAGTCGGGGGGGGCAAGCTGGGAGCTTTGCACTTTCTGATCTTAACACTATCAGGGCCTTTGTTAATATTTTCACATCCCTGTTTCAAAGCTGCGCTACTGAGTCGTGCAGATGCACCTGTGCCTGCAGCTCGGTATTCCTTAAGCGTCTGCCTCCCTCTTCCGGCTATGGAGTGACCCACAGGGTAGGGGGCACAGCGGGGTAGCGGGGTGGGTACTGGGTCCACACAGGCCTCTCCCCAGCTCCTCACACCACTCATTCTGACCCCCGGGGAACCTCTTACCCCACAGCCTTAACCCAAGCTTGGAGACCTTCAGGGAAAACCTTTCTTCATAGAACAGACCTGACCAGAGCCTTCCCTTTGGATTTATGGGGAAACCGAGGTTGGTGTGGTCAGGCGCTGAGTAGGTCCAAAGCACTGAGCCAGGACAGGCCCTGAACTCTAGGTCCCTTCCCTGCCACTGTTAACACTGTGTCTATGAATCCTCACTGGCTGTCACCCTTCCCTGCACCCCCTCCAGGAAGCCTTCCCAGGTCCTCCTCACCACCCTTCACCACCCTCCATACCACCCAGCCCCTCCCCCACGTGGCTGCAAAGACTGACTGGGTCGGGCCAGCAGAGAAAAGCGACAGGGTCTGTCTGTCTCCTTGCCCCACATTCATCACTGTTTGTTCTGCCGCCTCCTCTGCTTTTATTTAACTTGAACCCTGCCTCCCCTGTGGCGTTGCCCAGAAATTTATTTACTTTTTTAGACAAGGTCTCCCTATGTAGTACATGCTGCCCTTGAACTCAGGCTATGCAGCCCAGGCTGGCCTTCAACTCGTATGATACTCCTGCCTCAGCCTCCTGAACGCTGAGATTACAGGCGTGGGCCACTTCGCCTGGCTCTCATCTGCAGTCATTTAGAAATGAAGTAAGAACAGACGTCAAGGTGCTTCATGAAGCTCTCTATAAATGGGAGGACTCCCTACAGCTCACACAGCTAGCCACGCACTGTGTGCCACGCAGCCCCCGTTTACTGTCCCCTCACCAGCAGCTGGCTGGTGAGCGACCTCAGGCTGCACTGGGGAGGACACGCCTGCAGGTTATGTAATCCAAGTGCTCCTCGAGAGGAGCTGGAACTGGAGCACAGGTCACTCACTCTCTACCTGCCCGGCTCTCCACACACCTACCTGCTCACCTCGGCCTCTGGAACGCCTGTCGCACCCTGCCACAGGGGACAGGCCCTCCCAGCTTCTCCAGCCCCACCCCCTGGTGGGCGGGGCAAGATGTCAGGAATCCAGGAGCAGACCTGGATTCTACCTGCAACCCCCAGCGCTACGACGGCCTCGGTTTACTCATCTGTCTGTCAGACGGGGACCCCGCCTCTGCCCCTCATGAGTGGCAGCCGCAGCAGTGAGAAACGTGACTGTGTCCCCGGCACCTCTCTGGATCTCCATTGCACCCCCGCGCCTCAGCACCCCCGTGGCGGCGACGGCGCAGGTGCTCTTCCGCCTCTCCCCCTCCCAGTCCGCGCTCACCAGGGGTCCGGCTGCCGTCGCTGAGCGGGTGCCAAGGGTCGCGGTCGGTAGCCACGAGCAGGCAGTCGGGGTCGCGCAGGTGCGCGCACGCCTCGCTCAGCTTGGCGAAGGAGAAGTGCTCGTCGTAGCCCACGAGCACGGCGCGCACGCGCAGGGCGACGCCGGGGTCCCCCGCTAAGCGCAGCCCCGAGGCGCGCAGCTCGGCGCGCAGCCCCTCGCCGCCCAGCACGAACACGGCACCCTGCGCGTCGGGCGGCCCGGGCAGGCGCTGGCGCAGCAGGTGCGCGGCGCACAGCGCGGAGCTGAAGAGCTGCTCGGCGCGCAGCCCCCCGAAGCCCAGGCGCGCGAAGCGCTGGGCCAGCTCGGGCCGCGCGCGCCGGCTGTTATTGCTCACGAACAGTGCCTGCTTGCCGGCCCGTGCAAGCCGCTCCACCAGCTCCGCGGCGCCAGGCACGACGCGCTCGCCGTTCCACAGCACCCCGTCGCAGTCGAACAGGACCCCCTGCGTCCGGCCCAGCAGGTCGCGCAGGGGCGCGCCACTCAGCGGCTCGCATCGCGCCATGCAGCCTGCTGGCCGCTCGCACGCCCGCTCGCACGCCCGCGCCGCTCTCCCCGCGCGGGCACGGCGCGCTCGCCCGGCCCGTCCTCCGGGGCCAATCGGCACTCCGGAACGGGCTGGGGGCGGGGCCACGGCCTGGACCACCGCCAATGGGGTATAGAGGATCATAGAAGAACGAAACGGAGTGCGAACTGAGCTTGGAGAAAGGGCCAGGAATAGCGACTGCCCCCAAAGGGCGGATACCAATGTAGAACCAGCCGGCCCTTATCCCCCGCCCCCTTAGTCTATTGGGCCAATCGCCGCCAAGTTTCAACTCCCACTACCCTCTTACAGGGGGTGGAGCCTGGGAGACTGATGTTCTTTGTAACTAATAAGGAGCTAAGACTAGAAAACCCGCGTGACTAGACCCGCGTCCCCCAGCCAATCAGATGCTTAGGAAAGCTGGTTGTTAGGAGGAAAACAGGCTGAGAGGTGTCTATGGGTCAACTCTTTCTTGTTTTAAATGTATTGTTTTAATTTGTGTTAGTATATGTTTGCAGTACATTATGATGACGTTCATCGCAGGGAGTTGGTTCTTTACCAAACCACATTTTAACCCTGTTTACTTCCCCTTCCCCTCCCCCGGAGGTCTAATCTCTTGGCCCTCTGAACCACTCAAGCTCCAGTTCTGAGCGAAGTCCTGAGAAATATATTGGACAAGTGGCGTTCGGTGCCTTCTTGGGTGCGCGTCTAGGCTAGTGGCTGTCCACGCCGCTAGAGGGTCAGAATCCCCTGGGGGAGTTATTTTTGAGATATAATTTACGTAGAGTAAGATGTGTAGATCTCAAACTTACAGTTCTATGACTTTTGACAAATGATTTTTTAGAACCCAGACGCGTACCAGGCGCTCAGAATCTGGCTTAATGTTTTTGTTGGGGTCTGGGCGTTTTGGGGTTGCTGAGACCAGTAACCCAGGGCAGTGATAAGGTGACCCAGCAGCCTGTGTCCCCATCTTTGGGGAAAGGGGCTTCTGATCTAGAGGAAACTGCAGGTTTTAGGACCTTTGAGGATCCAGGACTTTAAAGTGTGGGAAGCAGGAATCAGAGAAGACTCTGCAGATGTCTGGTCCTCTCCTCCCAGAACAGCTGGACCTGCAAAGCGGGGTGCGTACCTTCTAACCCACTCCTTCCCCTTTCCCGGTGCCCATGCCTTTTGTTCCTGGCCTTTGCAGGGGTGGTCTCCTTGGCCTGGAATGTTCCTGCTTTTTCCTTCACCTTTTTCACCTGGCTGGCTCCTTAGACATCATCTCCTCCAGGAAGCCTTCCTTGACTAACCCCTCCCCAAACACAAATCAGGGTCTTTCAGGTGGCTGTTATGGTTTATATCTAGATGTCCCATAGACCCTCAGGGGCTCATAGGCAGGGCTTTTTGAAGATGATGGATTATACCTGACTTGCGGTTAGGAGGTGGGGGTCTGGTTGGAGGAGGACACGATCTGAAGGTTTTATCTCCCTTCTTGGCGCTTCCTCCACTCTGCTTCCTGGGTGCTACGACAGGAGCAGCTTGTCCTCTCCTGTGCCCCTCTGCTGCCCTGCTGGAAGCTAGCAGACTACGGGCTAGAAACAGGAGCTGAAATAAACTTCTTCAGTTGTGGGTGTTGGGTATTGTGTCCCAGCAATGAGAAAGTGGCCCACTCCTAATCAGGCTATGCGTATGGGCTTCCAGTGCCAGGATGCTCGATTCTGTTTTAACTTCTGCCCATCTGTTCCTAGAAGCCCTGTGGGTGGGTGTAGGGCTAAGCCCTGGAGCTGACCCAGAGCAGCCTGACAGAAGGTCATGGAAAGACCCATCCATCCCTGCTCCTGAGCCTTCCCTGCCTGCTCCCAGAATGCTATGGGGTAGGAAAACAAGGGCAGCTGCTGCCAAGCTTCCAGGGCTTCTGTGCTCCAACTGACACTTTGATACTACTGACAGGAGCTCCTCACTGGGCCCTCAGGACACCACAGGAGTGGGGTTGTTAGACTGTCTCAGATGAAGAAACCAGGAAACTAAGGAGGTAAGCAAACCTCCCAGGCTGTCCGGAACAAGTCTGGACTTTGGAACCATCAGCCTGTGCTCCTCTTGCCAGGCCCATGCCTTGCTCACTGCAACCTCAGCAGCCACTTCTTCCTGGCCTCAAGTCTCCCCACCACAAGCGATAATGGTACTTACTTCCCTGAGAGAAGAGTAAATGAAAACCATGCTCAGAAAAGCTCAGAGAAATCTCCACAAGCATTGACTGTTAGCATTTCAGACTGGGAGAAAGAAAAGAGGCCAAGAATATGCAATCTTCCCCTTTATGAAAGTGGCTTCTTTATTTTGAGGACAGAAAATAAGACTATCATTTGGGCAGATGCTCCAGTTTTGTCCAAAATAATTTATTTACCAGCCTTACAAAAAATATGTTGGCAAGAGAAAAGTAAGTCTTATAGGAGCAGGCAAGCCTGTCCTTCCTTCTAGTGGCTTCCCTGGGACCCTGCCAGAGGGTGGGGAGTGGAAGGGACTCTCAAGCTCAGGATGGAAAAGGTCAGGAAGCAGAGGGCTGTCCGGAGCCCTCCTGGCCATGGTGGCCGACCCTGCAGGCACTGAGGCACTTGTGGGTAAATGCTGGGGGCCCCCACCCTTTGGGAGAGCCGAGAGCTGCCCCAGGAGGACGGGGACACTGCGGGCCAGTCAGGGTGGAGCTGCATGCTCAGTCAGTCTCGGAGGCAAGGCCCCTGGGCCGGGGCTGAGGGGGCACAGCTTGTGGGGTAGAGACCCCACCTACAGCCTCAGGGGGCCCCCCATCCTCTGTGTGCACTTTCTGCGCTTCCACCTGCGTAGGTGAGCTTGAGAAGGCTGGGCCAGGGGAGGCCGGGCTGGGGGAGGCCGGGGAACGTCGGCTCTGGCGTCGGGCAGGTTGAGGGGGAACAGGGGGCAATGGGGGTGGCACTGTGGGAGCCCGGAGGCTGCTGCCCACCAGTCGGCGGGGCAGAGCCCGAGGAGTCACAGGGCTACTGGGGGTCGGGGCAGGGACTGGAGAGGAGCGGGTGCTGGAGAGCTGGGGGGGTGGCATGGTGGGCCGGGCCGGCGCGGGGCGCTTGGCTGTGGAGGAAGGAAAATGGGAGGGGGTTCAACATCACAAGCCTGTGGTGCCTCCGCCGAGCTCGGCCCCACCTCAGGACCTTTGTATATGCTGTCCCTTCTGTAATGGACACTTGCCACAGCCAGCCACTCATCAGCAGGTCTCCCTTCACAAACTTTACTCCGTCAGGGCCTCCCCAACCACCCTCACTGCAGCAGCGCCCTGCCCCACCCCTGTCTTTACAGGACTTATTCTCTGAAATGATCGCATCCATTTCCTCTTGGTCACTGCTTGTCTCCCTCATGACAACATAAAGCTAGCGAGGGCACTGTGTGAGTGGCTGCCTAGCCCTGTGCTGTGCACACAGTAGGCCTCTATACCCACCTGAATAAACAGGCAGCGTGTGTTCGTGCGGACACCTGGGTCTTGCTCACCTCCTCTCAGAAGCCCACCCGAGCTACCCCACCCTGGCTCCCAAAGATCCAACCCTGTGAGGGGTGGGCATGAGGGTTGGGACTCCCGCTCTAGCTCCACCTGCTGGAGATCTAGGGTGGACCCTGCCTGCCCCCCCGCCCCACTGCTTTTTCCTCATTGGTGAGAGGTGAGAGCCCATAGCTCCTGTGATGACAGTGCTTTGAGCAAATGCCCTGGCCACCTCCTATCCAGGAGGCTCCCTGGGTGGCCCACCTGCTCCTGGAGCTGCCTGACACAGTGCCCCAGGTGGCCATGCTAGGTGCCCAGGGCCGGTGGGACCTCCCAAGGGTGCCCGTGGCCCTGGTGAAGACTCCCTGCCCTTCTCACCTGTTGGACCCAGGTGACAGGTGAGTGCATCAGAGGTCTCAGGAGAGGGTTCCCTGCGCCCACCTCTTCCTGTTCCCTCAGCCCTCTGTGACCTCCGGGCTTCTGCAACTCGGAATACCAGGCTTTCTCTTTTCTGGTCCTGGAGTCCCACCCTCTCCCTTCAGCCTGTCTTTCTCCACTGGGCCCTTCAAGGCAAGTGCAGTTACTGTCCCATCCCACAGAGGAGGAAGCTGAGACTCGGACTGGCAAGGTCACTTGCCCAGTCACAGAGCTGAACCTGAACCTACAGTGCCAGGCAGGGAAGCTGGGCTTCCCACCTCCTGCATCTGTGGTCTCCCCTGGTGGTCTAAAGGGACAGGTGGCCTGGGATTGCCCCGCTTCCCACCCTCTCTGGCCCCTTCTCCGCTCCCACAGCCAACTCACTCCTCCGGGCCGTGTCCTCTGCTGGGGCAGCTGTCCCCGAGGCGCTCCTGTTGACCATGGGCGAGACTGGTCTGGGTGGCACTTCCGACTCTGTCCTGAGAGAGAAGGACAGGAGAGGGGCGGGGCAGGCTTGGCCATCTCCTAAAATTCACCTGCAACCTTGGGGAGACTCCCAGGTCTCTGCTCCCCAGGAAGGCCTTTCCTGTGGTTCCCCACTCAGCCCCCAGGGTGCCCCCTATTCCCCAACATCACAGACACCTCTGGGGACATGCTACTCTCCACAACCCTGTGATGCCAGCTCAAAGACAGCACTTATTTGCCTGGGTCACCAGAGGGAACCCGGTGTGGGCCACACAGTCTGTGGGAAACTGAACAATTCCTGCTTGGTACAGAGGCAACACCACCCCACGAAGCCCTTCTGGACTTGGGCTGGGGATTTAGCTCAGTGGTTCCAGTGCCTGCTTCTCAGGCACAAGGACCCGAGTTCAATCCCTGGTACCAAAAAAAAAAAAAGCCCTTCTGGACTTAAAGGATTGGGGAGAAGACTGGAAGGTGTTTACAAATTCCTGAATGACCACCTCCTAGCTCCCTAAATCCACAGGGCCTGAAACAGTGCCTGGCACATAGTAGGTGCTCAGTTAATCACCACAGAAAGAATAAGGAGTCACATCTAAGGCTAAGCAGGGGATCACCCCCAGGTCCCTGCCTGGGAACTGGGAGATAGGTCTTTCAGATGAAAATAGCAATAATGACCTTTCCTAAGTCCTGAGAGAGGCCAGGAGAGGGGCAGTTCATACTCCTTGTTTCCTACCTTTCCTTGGGTACCACTAAGGCTGAGCCCAGGGCCAAGGCTGGGGCTGGGGCCGGGGTGGTTGCTGGAGTGGGCATAGAAACAAGTGGCGACTCTTCAGCAGCTGGTCCATCGCCGACCTTGTCCTGGGGGGCGAGGGCTGAGAAAAGGCCGGACACATTGAAGTTGATGTCTGGGGACAGAAAGAGCAGGTCTCAAATTCAGAGCCTTCACCAGCCTGGGCAGGGGAGGGGACCCAGGGGGAGCTTCTCAGAGGCAGGAGCTTCACCTCCAGGAAAGAGGGTGTCCGAGTTCTGTATCAGAGCCTCGACCACGCCCACCACCTGGATAGATGACACGGAGGCTGCGTCCAGCTGGGCCTGGTTCCTGGCACAGAAAAGGAGACAAAGTAAGTCATCCACCTGGAAAAGATTCAGTCCCGCACCCCGACAGATGTCCCTAGTCAGTCAAGGGCCCTGTCCCCTGTTCTCGGATCCAGACAGTCCCTAACCAGCAACTGTCTCCACACACTGACGAAATCTGTGCGCCATGTGGGGCCCAGGAAGTAACGATGATTCCTCACATGCCTCAGCACTTTACAGTTTGTAACACTTCTCACGACGTCATCTGATTCCCAAAGCAAAGCCCCTGAAAGCTTTTACAGTCTCTCCTCAATTTACAGATGAGGAAGTGGAGGTCCAAAGAGTGACTCCTCAAGCCCATCTCTGGGCTCCCAGCCTCCAGCTCAGGCCACCCTGCAGCCCAGTGCTGCCCTTACCCAGAATGCCTGTGTCCAAAGGCCTGTGGGGTCCTGGACTTTCAGGCTGCTCCTCATGCAGCCTTGGGTCAGGAGCCGGCCCATCTCTACACATGGGGAAACTGAGGCCTTGGGGAAGTAAGCAGCAGATGGCTTGGGAGGGGACTGCTTCCCTTCTGTCATCTTCCCCTGCCCATGGCTCCTCACCCTTCTTTCTCAGGTGGCCACAGCAGGTTGGGCCCCAGAACGATGGCAATGTTGCTGGGTGTCATCTTGTTTACGTCCTGCTCCTCCACCAGCCGGGCCAGGAACTTCATTAGGTACCTGGGCAGAAGGTAGGCTTGGGATGGGGCTGGGGCACTTTGGGCCATAAACACCCATCATGCCGAGGCCTGAGAACCTCCCAGCCCTGTATTTCCAGAGTGGAAAGGAATCATACAGGGTGGCTTTTAACTTTTTATTTTTGGAGTGCTGGGAATAGAACTCAGCCTTATGCATGCTAGGCCACTGCCACTGTGCTACACCCCCAGCCCCCAGTTTTAAACTTTTAATAGTTAAATCAGCTGATCCACTTATTAAATGCCAAACATGTCAGGCACAGAGCTATGAGAATCCCAGCCTTGCCGCAGGGTGGGGACTGTTCTGGTCTGCATTTTCCAGGTGACAACACTGACTTACTCCCAGGGCCACACCATGGTTGGCAGGGGTGGGGCAAAGTTCAAGGTATTTATTTCAATGTCTAGTATAAAGAAACACAGCCCATACAGCAAAGCTGTGTTTTCAGAAGTATGGCTTAGGACCTGGAGACAGGACCCGACTTCAACAACCCAGGGCCCCAAGTCCCAGCAGGGCTCTGGCTCCGGGGGTGGCCAGGAAGGTGGCCCGGGCTCACCTGAGGTTGCTGAGGTTCTCAGGGGGCAGGCGGTCGCACACCTCTCGGAGGGCCTCTAGCCGGGCCCCAGACTCTTTCAGGCTGAGGAGAATAAGCCAGTGAGGCCAGGCTCTGCAGCCTCTTCCTCCCCATCTCTCTCATCCCCACGGCTCACCTGGCTGCTCTCACCCAATCATCATAAAGGTCAAAGGTCATCAGGGGCTCTGGCAGCTCCCGGAGATAGGATTTGAGGGCACCTGAAGCAGGGGCAGGGAACAAGGTTAGAGGCAGCCTCCAACCTGCCCCCTGCACCCCCAGTGTCCACCTGTCTCCACGTGGAAGGAACCTCCAGTCCCTGCTCCCACTAACATGTCCAGGTCTGGGCCACGGCCCTTTTGACAAAACGGTTAGTGATCGTGTCCCCAGAAAAATGTACATGCATTTCAGGGTTTCACTGCAAACCCTGTTAGAAACCCTAAGTCTCCTCTGCAGAATATCAGTCCTTAAAGCAGGGCCATCATGGGGTTATTTCAGGGAGGTGCCCCCCACCCCTCCCACCCAGGACTCCTCAGTTCTGGCACCTGCCACAGCATGTGGGTCCGTGCAGAACTCTTCCAGGCTGTGGGGATCCAAGGCCATCGTCTGCTTGAGGCGCTTCAGCACTGAGGCCCCTGCGGCCAGACGAAAGAGGCCCTGGGGCACAAGAGGGGGTGTAGGTCATGGCAGGTGGCAGGGTAGGACACCGGCTGGAAGCCCTGGGTTGCCCATAGCCTGTGCCCTCACTGTGCCCAAGGGTCTGGTGGGCAGAGTGGACTCGACTTCCAGCTCTGTAATTCTGAGCAAAGAGCAGTGCTAGAAATTCTGGGGGAGCTGAGGAAAGCCATGGGGAGACAGGAACCTGGTCAGGAGTAGAAAGGAAAAACAGGGCCAGTAGGACTGACAGGAAGTCTTTTTATCTTTGGATATTATCCACCTATAGTCTCAGGGAGGGGCCAATGCACTGACATCATCAGTAAGGTACAGAGGACAGGTAGGGGCAGCCTGTGACAGTGACTGCACTGTGGAGCCCTTGGTTTCCATGTCACCTCCTTGTGTGACTCAGGGCGTGTTTCCCTCTTTGCCTGTCTCCTCTTTCCAAAATGGAGCCAACAGGGAATCATTACGTGTGGCAAGGAGTGCCACAGGCTTCCGGCATGAGGGAGGTAGCGACCCTCAGTCCACAGGCAGCCATGCCTGCTCCTGGGACCTTGCTCTAATGGGAACTACAGGCACCAGCACAGGGCAGTGTGTGAACAGTGAGGGCAGCTCGAGGGCCCTGATGCCCCTTCCACACCTCTTCCCGCATGCCCTCAGACAGCAGCATCAGCACACAGGCCTCGATGGGCAGGGCGATGTCCCGGCCCAGCTCTTGCAGGTGTGTCCCCAGCGACACCCCATACACCCTGGAGAAGGGGTTGGCCGTCATCGAGGGGGAGGGGTCTGCAGGGATGAGACAGATCAGCGGCCCAGGGCCCCCCCACCGCTGGGCAGTCGGGGGCATCCCCAAGGTGGTACCACTGTGCACCCCCCTCCATGTGCACATCTGGAACCATCCACCATCCCCCTGTGGAACTGCCCAACCTCCACTGGTCCACCATCTCCTCCCTTCTGACTCCTAGAAGGTCTCCTGGCTGTGGTCCTGCCCCTTTCATGCCACCCTCCACAGAGCAGTAACCTCTCCATGCAAACCTAACCTGGGCCTCCCTTGCCCAGAGCTCATCCATGGCTCCCTTGGCCAGCCAAGGTGCCCACCTGCTTGGCTGTGATTCTCCCTCAGCTCAGCCAGGGCGGTGTCCAGAGAGCTCAGTGAGCTGCGATGGTAATCAGCCTGAATCTCCAGGAGCTGTGGGGACAGAGCGACACCTTCAGGGGACTGAGGGGGTGGAGCCTTCCCAGGGGTCCCTGGAGCAGACCTCGCCATCTCTCAGGGGTCCTGGTACCCCTTGGTTCTGGCATCTACCCCCGAGCTCTGATGGCTGGGGCCAAGTCTTGGACTCACGTGGATGAAGTAGTTGGCGTACGAGTCCTCCTTGGTGGCAAAGTGGTACAGGTCGGCCAAGTACTCATCCTTGGGGACACAGAGAGGAGAGTTTACACCAGGGAAGCCATGGGGTCTGGTGGAGAAGCTGAAGCTCTGAAGGGACAGCCACCTGCCCAACTGTGTGTGGAGGGTCCCCACTGGCTCCTCTCTCTGCCAAAGTTTGTACTGGGGCCAGCCCACCAGGAATCCCACAAACTATTGAGGGCTTTTAACAGCTTCTAGTCTCATCTGTGGGTCCCGACATCACTCACCATGCAGTCCTCTTTTTATATTTTATATTTTATTTTGAGACAGATTCTTACTAAGTTGCCCAGGCTGGGCCTGAACTTGTGACCCTCCTGCCTCAGCTTCCTGAGTAGCTGAGATTACAGACATGTATCACTGTGTTTGGCTACCATCATTCTTTTTTGGGGGGGCTGGGGGTGGACAAAGGATTGAGTCCAAGGCCTTTGCACTGAGCCACATTCCCAGCCCTTTTTATTTTTTAAGATGGGGTCTTGCTAAGTTACTTAGATTGGGCTGGAACTAACACTCCTCCTGCCTCAACTTTTCAGAGTGCTGGGATTATAGGTATGACCACAACACCTGACTATAATCATTTTTCATTCACTTACTTGCAGCACTATTCATTCATTCATTCATTCATTCCTTCCTTCCTTCCTTCCTTCATTCACTCAGCAAATACACCCCAGGGTCCAGTGCTCATATCCTGTTCCTGCTTCCCATGTTTGCATGTGGTGCAGACAGAGGAGGCCAGGAGGTAATGGACAGTATATAGTGCCTGGCCCCTGACTGTCTTGATCCAAAGCCCACCCCTGCTGCTTCCTAGGGGGGTGGCCTTGGGCAAGTCAGGTCCCCTCTGAGCCTCAGTTTCCTCCTCTGTGAAATGGGGACCGTACCTGCTCACACCAGGGTGCCCACACCCCTCACCTTACATTGCTCTACTCTCCTCTTCAACTCTTCCTCCTCCTCCCTCAGCGTCTCCACCTTGTTGGCAGCCGCTGTGGTGTGGCTATAGCTGCCTGGGCCGCCGCCCAGGCCTTGACCACTGCCAGAGTTCTTGGTGGCTTGGCTGAGCCTGTGGATGATCCCAAGGTGGGGTGGTCACTAGCCCTGCTGCATGCCCAGAGCCAAGTGTCCCCTCTGTATGGGGACCACACAGGGCTCTGGGATCTACAGATGCAAATCCCTTGGCTCTCTGCCCAGACTGAGCCTGAGTGCTCTGAGGTGCCCCCTGGCGGCAGGCTTGGTGATCACAGCCGCCCAGATCAGACCATAGGATGGGGGCCCATGGGCCATCCTGGGATCTTTGAGGATTGGGGGTCTCCGGGCTTTGGGGTCAACCATGTACCCTCACCACATGGGCTTCCATGGACCAGCTGTCACTCTGTGGGCCCTGAAGTCTCCTCCCAGGGCAGCAGGGGCATCAGGCTCTGTGGCCACCCGTGTTCTGCCCCAGGTTCCTTTGGGCTCCTACCTGCTCTTGAGGGTGTTCCAGTCAGACACCAGCTTCTGCAGGCTTTTCTTGTGCTTAAGGATGGCGGGCAGCTCCTCCTGAGGACAGACAAGAGGGGTTCAGGGGCCTGGGGGAGGGAGCTAGAGGCTAGGGAAGCTGGGCCGGGGGCAGGGTCACCTCACTCAGCCTGCTGAGCGGCTGCAGGACATCCCGCTCCAGGGCCATCTCGAACTCGGCCAGGATGCGGGCCAGCTGGTTCTGGATGGCACAGCTCATCTCCAAGGCCTTCCTGTGGACAGAGTGGCCGGTGAGCCCAGGCTTGATGGCTCTCACCCCACCCTACCCCCAACTTGGTGGGGCCTCCCCTCCCCATCACTTCCTACTCCTTTGGCCCCTGCCCAGCCCTAGTCATCCTCACTAACCTAACACTGTTTCCAGCCTGGTCATCCTTCCCACCAGGATGCCCTTGCTGATTCAGACCCCTCCCAGCCCTGACTGCACCTCAGCACCCTTAGGTAGCCATGCTCACCCCATGCTGGAGTCGGGGTCCAGCTCCTTGAAGCTCTCTGCCATCGTGGAGGACAAAGCCATGAGGGGAAGCTTCTTCTGCAGGGACAGTGGGCAGGCTGGGCTGTGAGCCTAAGTGCAGCTGGCTCCCCAACCCACCTGAGCACCCAGTGAGCCCAGGGCAGGGGACAAGGGGACCCAGGAGGCCATAGTCACAGGTTCAAGTGGAAACTGGAGTGCAACATGGGATGGAGGGGGTGATGACCCTGCTGACCACGTAAGAGCCTTACCCAACTGGGGTCCCCTTTCCCCTCTCCCAGAGGTCACCTGATTGGGCAGGAAGGAATGACCAAGTCCCATCACAGGTTAGGAAACTACCAAGCACAGAGGGCAAGAAGGGTCAAGGCTGAGGTTGAGGGTGAAAGAAAGGAGGAGCAAGCGTGACAATGGGACTCTGTCTCCTCCCCAGGGGATACATGGCTGACCTGGCCAACACTGAGCACTGAGCTCAAACCTTCCACTGACCTCCCTGTTCCCAACCTCAACTCTGCCTGAGCCTCATAGAATTGTTGACTGACTTCAAAACATGCCCTCCATGCTTCCACCTGGGTTATGGATAGCACTAGCTTTGAAGTTACAGACAACAGGGGTCAAACCTCACGTTTGTCACTTGCTAGCAGTGTGACCTTTGGTGAGTAACTTAAAGCCTCCATTTCCTCATTTGTAGAACAGCACCTCCTGCTAGGGTGGGGGCCAGCAATCAGTGAGGCAATGTGGATCCCATCTTAGCAACAGACTGGCAGACATGGATCAATAAATGCCGCCTGCTGATTAATACCCCTGAGTGTCACTTAAAATCCAGCTCAAATGTCGCTCCCTTAGGAGGGTGCCTGGTGGAGAGCTTGCTCTGTGTGATGATAGCAGAGATGTTCAGGTGCAGCCAGAGGCCTGGCCTTGCCCACAAGGATGGTGCAGAGGGAAGCAGGGTCAAGAAGGGGTTGAGGAGGCCGTGGGGCCTCAAGTGGTACCCGAGTGCCCCTGGTGCCCAAGGCTCATACTGGCAGGGAGACCCCAGCCCTGAGCTCACCACACGCTTGTCCATGTCAGCCCCACTCTGGCCCTGCAGACAGGCCAGCAGCCGCTTGTGGACATTGTGGGCTGCCCGCTTGGCAGGCTCCAGCCGCTGCTCCACCTGGGAAGAAGGAGGTGTGGGGGCAGTGGACTGTGGGGCAGCGGTAGCCCCTCACTGTCCTGTAGCTCCCCTGAGCAGGAACTGCCTTTCTCCTCCCTCTGCCTGGGGACCCCATGGCCAAGAGTGCAGGGAATGACTCAACTTCAGGGCAGGGCAGCCAGCGTCCCTGCATGCCCCAAGTCCCTTCCCCAGCCTGCATGGGCCTGCCTCCCACGCCCAGGCACGTACCTGCAGCAGCTCCTCACCCAGGAACTCAGCTGTCTCCGGGGTGCTGTGGGGAGGGCAGCTTGTGCTGAGCCAGCCTAAGCTAGGAAACCTCCCACCTCCCCCTGTCCCCTGCAGGACACCTGGACACCACGGCTTTCACAGCCCCTTCCAGGTGGGCCCACCCTGGGTGGCCCGGCTTCATCTCAGTCAGAGCACATTCCATGGGGGGGGAATAGGATTCACGGCTTTTTCCTCCTCCACCCTGGGCTGTGTCCTGAGAGAGGGTGGGCCCCCAAAACTCAAGGGGGCCCTGCTCTGGGACACAGGGTCAAAGCCTCTCTACTGCTCACCCCGCAAAGTGCCAGCCTTGCCCGGAAAGAGGAGGCCTAGGCGGGCCCCAAGAACGGGAAGTGTGGGAGCTGGGACTCCCAGGCTGTGAGCCCCACAGGACTCTGGACAGCAGCGGCAGGCAGGGTGGGCAGGCCCTGAATCCCTGCCCGGGGACACATGAGGATGCTGAGGCCCAGAACAAGGTGGCCTGACTGCTGGTGCACACGGCGCCCATGCCCTCGTGACACCAGAACAAGTCTCAGGACACCCAGTCCCCTCCTCTGGGCCCAGAGAATGGGGAACTCGGGGCTGGGGAAGAGGAGCAGAGAAGATAGGCCCTCAGAGGCCCCTCAAACTTCCGGCCTCCGTGGACCAGCTCAGGGACTAGGAGTTGCAACGGGGAGACCTGGGAACGTTTCCACCTGAGCCTGGGAAAAGCAGAAGCAAGACAGAGAAGCAGAAGGCCTGGGGCGGGAGGAGGGGCAGGACGCTGCGGGGCAGGGGAGGCCCCTCCTCCAACAGGCCGGGACCCTGTCTGCTCCCCTCCCCCAAGGTCTGGGCCCTAATCCGCCTTCCCCTCCCCCACCCAGCAGTCTGAGGTGGGTAACTGTCCCCATTACCCTGAGGGGACAAGTGAGGCTGGATAGGACTGTGGATTCAGAAGCTCAGGGCGCAGAGAGGGTGCATTCTCCCCACTGCAGGTCCCTGTCGGGGACCGGGGCGCCACTTCTCCTCAAGGCCAGCCCTGACTGGGCAACCTGGTGGCGTTCGCAGGGGAGCAAGCGAGGGCAGGACTCCAGCCGGTAGGAGGGAGGCTGCCCAGCTGTCCTCCGCCATTCCCTCCGGTCCCCCTACCGGTCTACACCCGCTCTGGTCCTGCAGGGCAACAGCGGGGCTGCCAGGAAGGGGGCGACACTCACCGTCCCAAGCTGCCCGTCTGGGCCAGCTGCCGCATGCGGTGCAGCTGTCTCTTCATCATTTTGGGGCCAGGCTGGCGGCGACGGGGTCGCGCTGGGGGTCGAGGCCGGCAGTCCCCGGCCCAGCAGTGGTCTTGCGCGCAGCGCCCCGGATGGGTGGGCGGCGCTCGGGCTTCCTGGGCCTCCGCGCTGCGCTCGCTCGGCCTCTCTCCGCCCCGCCCGCGGCTCCGCCCCCGGCCCCCAGGTCACTCCTCGCTCCAAGTTTGTCTCCCCGTTCTCTCCCAGTTACCAGGCCCCGCCGACCCCCGACGCGGCAAGGTGGCAGCCCGCTGTCGCAGGTGGAGCGCGGCTCCTCCCCTGCCCCGCCCCGCCCCTGTGGCGGGAAGCAGGTAAGCCCGCCCGCCCCTGCCCGCGCTCTGCCGCCCTAGGGACCAACAATCTTTCCACCCTTCTGAACGGGAAAAGGGCTCTGTCCTCGGTGCCCAGGAGGGACAGGGCGAGGACGGGCCCTCCTGACCTGCCCTAGCCCTTGGGGCACCTGGAGGGATGCTGGCCTCAACTTCCTCCCGGGAAGACCTCAGGGCCTGAAGCCCAAGGCCACATCTGCTCGTCCCTTGCTCCCCCGCTGAGGCCTTTGCTTCTTGGTTTTTGGTTGGTTGGTTTGTTTGGTACGGGGATCGAACTCCGAACTCGGACCTTGGGCTTGCGAGGCAGGCGGCAGAACCACTGAGCTAAATCCCCAGCCCTGTTTATTTTTGAGACAAGTTCTCGCTGTGTAGTTCAGGATGTCCTCAACTCACTATGTAGCCCAGGCTGGCCTCAAACTCACGGTGATCCTCCTGCCTCACCCTCTGAGTTCTGGGATTATAGGTACCACCACACCTGGCTGACCTTTGCTTCTTAGGACTCCCTCTGTCAAGTCCCTGGAACTCTGCACTCCCTGTCTCTAGTGGCCTGAAGGGACAGCTGTCCTAGACCTGCCCATCCTGCTAAATGGACGATATACCTCTGCCTGCCCCTCCAGCCTCCAGGTTTCTGCTCCTGTCCTCCCTTTAAGGGGGTCATGCCGCCCTCCAGTCTCCAGAAACTCCTGGAGCACGGGCTTCAGGAGGGGTCTTTTCCATCTGTAAAGTGCCCTCCTCTCTTGCCTCCTGGCAGATGTCCTCAGGCTCTGCCCATCCTTCCCGTGAAGCAATGATATGAGTGCTGCTCTTACCCCCTAAACTCAGTAGGAGTTGAGTCCTCCACCTAAAACCAAGCTGGGGCCAGGGATTTAGCTCTGTGGTTTCATTGTCTGCTGCGCAAGCGCAAGGACCGGAGTTTGATCCCCAGTACCAAAACCAAGCTGGGCACACAGTAGGTGCTTCACAACTGCTGCTTAATGAAAGACTGGAGAACCATGCTGGGCAACTGTATATAAGTTCTCTTGTCCCTGCCCCCCACCCCTGAAGCACAGGATCCTGGGGTGGGGTGAGGGTGGGGGGCTCTGGAGGGCCCTGCCAGCCAGCTCTCTGCAATTGTTAGCTACAGTCCCCTTCCAGACTCCTTGAGCACCTACTGTGTGAGGTGCACAGACTGGGCTCTTTTCAAAGGCAGTACCTTGGCCTCAGACAGGTCCATCTTCTCCGTGCCCAGCCCAGGGCCTGGTACCTAGAAGGTACTCACTGGAAGGTGGCTGCCTCTCCACTCCCTGAAGGGAGAGCCAAGCAAGCCCCACAGGCAGGGAGGGAGGCAACCAGCAGTTGCTGCAGGGGAGCCCACCTGAGCAGAAGCCTGCCTATCTGCAGTAAGTTGGGAGGCCCCAGGATCAAAGGCCCTGGCCAGGGTTGCCTTTCCCCCAACCTGAAGGCTACTGGCTAGTGATTTGGGGAAAGTGATTCTAGAGGAGGCGGGGCTTGGGCATTGCTTTGATGGAGGGACACACCCTAGTGTGGTATAGACCTGGCCTCCTAAACTGTGGTGCTCCGCTTGGAATGTCTGGGTTTTCGTCCTGGCCTTCCACCTTCCCCACCGGCCAGGGAACTTTGTTGGGGCTTGGTTTTCCATCTTTGCAATGGGTAGACACCTACTGGGTGTGGCTCAAGGAAACTGAAAATTCCCAAGTCAGCTACTTGATCCCAGGTGCCACCTCTCGTGTGGTGCTTCTCCTCTGTTCCAGCCCAGTCTCCTACTGGTGTCACACTGAGTTTGAGCATGTCCATCTGGCCTGAAGGTTCCTGAGGGCAAGGTCTCTATACCTCTGTCCCTCCTGGTCTGGCCCAGGGCAGAAGTGTGGGCTGTGGCAGCAAACAACTCAGTCCATTAAGAGGCTGCTCACACTCTTGCCCTCCCTGCTCCACCCTGATCTAGGCTCCTCTCCAGCTGGACCCAGGGGACTTCTGGGACTCAGTTGGGTGGGGCTGCTGTACCTCTTGGCTGAGTGACCCATGTACCTTAGGGCCTCCCTTGTCACACTTGTGTTGAATCATAGCCCGCTGGAAGCCTGAAAGGTTGGATCATAGGCTATTCCTAAGGAATGATGTTGCAATCAGAGCCTGACAGGCCCAGGAATTTCAATACCTGAATGTTGTGATTGTGCCTCTTTAGAACTGTGGGTGCAGACAGGAACCTTAGAAGTCACCAGCTGACCCTCCCTTCCCCAACCAAGGGGCTTGTTGATTTGGTGGATCTCCACCAGGCTGGGCCTCTCCTGAGTAGAGTATGGGTCTTATCTGGCTCATGCTGAGTCCTTTGGGACCCATTGTCTTAGTCATGGGAACTCAGTAGACGCGGAAGACCTGAATGGCAAGGGAGAATGTTGTGTCAATGTACACTTAAACTGCAAGGACAGAGCGGGGGTGTGTGGATGGAGCTGGCCTGCCCAGCTCTGGCTGTCACTAGCTGAGTGATCTTGGGCAAGACAGTCTACCTCTCAGACCTGGCATCCTCCTCGGGAAGATGGACCTCTTGGGTTGTTGGATTAAATGAATGAAGGCTGTCATGGCTTGTGTCTTTTTTTTTTTTTTTTGGTACCGGGGATCGAACTCGGATCCTTGTGCTTGCACAGCAGTCAGGGAAACCACTGAGCTAAATCCCCGGCCCTGGCTTGTGTCTTGATGCTCTCCCACCCCAAAGCCTCATCCAGTCAGTGGGGCTTTTTCTGGAATTGATTTATGGTGCAGTGCTAGGCTCAAGGGCACTAGGATTGAGGGAGTGAGTGCTGCTGGACCTAAGTAATCTGCATAAGATAAAAGGGGCAGAAAGATTCTGTTGAGGGCTCCTCCTCCTCTCTTGTTGGATTTGCTGTCTTCTGCTTGCCACGAAATTCTCTGAATGCCTCTCTGCCAAGCCCTGCCTTGGAGCCAGGTGATTATGGACCGAAACCTCTACAAACTGCAAGCTAAATAAACCTTTCCCCCTTTAACTTTGGATGTCGGGTATTTTGTCTTAGCAATAAGAGAAAAGTAACTAAGACAAAGGCATAAGATGCTTAAAAAAGTACCTGTCACTATTTCTTGTTTACTCAATATTCAGTCAAGTCAGGAAAGGAAAGACCTTTTACTCCCATTCCTACCTCAGCTATGCTCAAAATGTGTCTGGGGCACCCTGGGACAAAAGGACTTACTGTCATTTGTCTTAGCTTGTCCTCTAGTGAGGTATCTTTGTCCCCATTTTACAGGTGAGCAGACCTAGGCTGCTGGCCCAGGCCCCCAGCTGGCTAAGTGGTGGCCAAGCCAGCAGGCAGATCTGACAGCCCTCAAGCCCAGTGTCCCTTCCCACTGTGCCAGAAAGCACTGCCTGGAATGCTATTAATGCTCCCTGTCTTAACCCATGGCCACTGGGAGGGGCCCAGCAGCCTTGGCATGGATTTGTCTGTGAAAAATTTTCACACTCTGGGTAGCTGCTGCTGGTGAAGCCTGAGCAGGATGTGGGCAGGGCAGCCAGTGGTGATGCAGAGGTGGTGGCAGCAGTCAACACTTCTTAGGCGGGCTGACACATTGCTAGTCTATGGCCATACTGGCACTGCCCTCCCAATGGCAGTGTCCAAATGCAGCAGCTTGGGCAGGTGTGCTTTCTGGGACTCTGGAGCTCCCTTGGCCCCTCCCCAAGCCAACAGGAGTTTCCCAAAGGCCTGGCACAGGGCTGAGGCACAGTCCTGGTGGCCCTGGGGGAGTGTGTGCTCTGGACCCCAGTCTGGAGGAGCACAGGCCTGGCAGGCAGAGGGCTGGTGGTGATGATGGGTGGCTGGATGGCAGAAGCAGCGCGCCACCACAGTGGACACCACTCCCTGAGACTGCTGGTCCCCACTCTGCCCTGCACTGTCTGCCTCCAGCACTTAACACCCAGAGCCTCAGCTTTTTGCATTTTCTCAGTGTGGTTCTATGCATTAATGGGGAGCTGCAGGGAGATGTGGCTATGGGCCAGGTCAGGCTCCCCTTGACTACTTGCAGAGCAGGGCTGGCTGGAACCTGCAGAGATCAGGGGAGGGCACAGGTGGGATCCCTGGGCCAGGAGAGGCTTCTGTGTCGCTTCTGGCTTCCTTGAACATATGAGCATGGTGTGCTGCGGTTACTAAAAAATAAACATCTGGCCCTGGCCAGACAAGTAGAGATGGACATGTGGCTATGAGGTCTGGGAAGTCCTGACGCCCTCAGCATGTGGTGGCGGTCACCTTTCAAGGGACAGAAAATGCAGCTCCCCAGGGGAGCCCAGCCTGACCCCTAACTCCAGACCTGTCTGAATAGGCAGCTTTGGGGAAGGTCAGGGCGTGCATGGTACAGGGCTGTTCAAGAGCACTGGCGTGACAGTGATGGGTTAGGACGAGGGGAGGGCAAGTGACCCAGATTGTAGCAGCCTGAGCCCTTCTGCCCAGAACTCTTCAGGGGGACCTTACCCTGTGCCTTTCAGACAAGGAACTGAATAAAGACCAGAAAAGGAAGCACTCTGCTCAAAGTCACGTAGCACCCAGACTCCAAACTCAGTAGTCAACGATGAGGCGACCCCAGGTGGGCACTCTGCAGGGAACAGGATGTGGTCAGTTGGTCCATCTCGTCCTTCAGCCAACTTGGAGAAGCCCTCATCCTGCACCTGCAGTGTGGCCGGCAAGGGGTCCTTCATCTGCTGGGGAGTGGAAGAGCTGGGCTACTCTCCAGCAGGTGCCGACAATATCTATGGAAGGGTCCAGAGCCAAGCACAGACCAGGAAACACATTAGACAGAGTGAAAGTGGCTATTTAAATGGAGACTCTGTGGGGGCTTCAAGGGGCACACCTGTATCTGTCTAGAAGAGAAAGAATAGGCAGCCTCCCCCTTACTGAGCAGAATCCCTCCCCACACGGCAGGCGGAGCAGTGTGAGGCTGGCTTTTCCTCTGGAGTAGCTCCCTGGCAGGCGGTGTGGTCCCTCCACCCTGGCCCTGCCCTGGGGTGGCCCCAGCCACCACTTAGAGAAAACCAAGGCAGGAGTGGGGGGCCCAGCTCAGGGTTCCTGGGGATCCTGACACAGGCTGCTTCCTGGGAGTGGCCTCTAGGAAGCTGGGGCCCCAGTGCCTCTGAGTGGTGCAGTGGTTGTGTTCAGAGGGTACAGGCAGCAAGGCAGCAGGGGTAAGTTCCAAGTAGCCAGGCGGCCCGAGTGCCTGCAGCAGCTGCAGCCCCTCACTTCCAGCTGGGGCGGCTCCCTCTCTGGTGACTCAGCAGCCACCACAGCCCCTACATAGGGCCTCTTCTGGCGCAAGGCGGGGTGGGAATGGGGAGAGGCCTGATCCCCAACAGAGAGGTCTGCACGGCTGCCCCCAGGACCCTGCCTGTCTCCCCCAATGTCAGGAGGGCCAGAGAGCAGCTGGTCCAGGAAAAAGGATGTTTTATTTTCATAAATACTGCTCTCACTCACACACTGACCCCACTTCTGACCACGGACAGATGTGAGATGATGCCCAGAGGAGGCCCCGAGAGAGCCGATGAGTGGAGGAGACACACTGAGAACCCCAGGAGCTCTGCAGCCCCTTGGAGGCCACCTGCCTCTGGCACTGCCCTTAGGCTCCCTGGTCCCTTAGGAGGCTGACAGCAAAGGGGGCCCCCAAGAGCAGGGGCTGCGTGGGGCTCCCCAACATGGCCCAAGACTGTGGCCACAGGGCCACTCTGAAAGAAAAGCAGGGAGCCAAACCACATACCAGAGTGCAAAGAGCTGGGGGCACAGGCGGCACCCCCATACTGGGCTCCTGTACAGGAGGCCGGCTGGTCCCCAGTCCCAGTGTGGCCTATGGCTGGGCCTTCCCATAAGGCATAAGACAGGTGGGGAAGAGCCACCCCAGGCCAGGGGCAGGGCTGGGCCTGTCGGCCGTGTGTCCTCCCCTCAACCCCAAGTCCTTCCCAGCCCTGTAGCCCCCCTGCTTCCGGCTCCCAGCAGGAAACCCAGGCCCAGCCTCCTGCTGGGTTTGGCTCAGCAGGGGAGCAGAGCTTGGGAGGGAGGAGTCACTTGGCGGCCCCAGCAGTGAGGGGAGAAGCACCAGGCCAGGGGTACGTGGCCATGGGGAACAGGGAGTGTCCTAGACCACCACAGCCTCCGCCCAGGCTGGACAGTGGCCGGTCCCTCTGTCCCCTCCTCTCCCCAGCCCCTCTGTTCTAGAGGCTCCCCCAGGTTTCGGGTGGGGGGAACTGGTCCACATCCCCCATCTCATTGTAGGTCTGGTCGCCCATGGTGAAGGTGAGCTTGTAGCGGAGGCGAACCTTCTCCTGGGCAGAGGAGGCGAAGGCAGAGGGTCAGTGAGGGAGGAGGAGGAGGAGGATCCCCTGAATTGCCTGTCAACCAGGCCCTCTCACCTTCTGGGGGTTGGCGAGGAGCAGGACCTGGGTAATGGCTGAGGGATGGACGATGGGGTTGAACGCAGGCAGCTCTGTGCCTGATGGTGGCTGGAGCTTCACCTTCATGACCTGTGGATGGGAGGGCCGGGGATGGGGGGCACAGCTGGCTTGGCTGCCGTCCCAGCCACTGAGGACCAGGTCCAGCCTGCCAGTACCCCTCTGAGGGTCTTGGGGGCTCTGCCCTCTGGATCCCCCGCTTCCCACCAAGGGAGAGGGACCTTGCCCTCTGACCCATTCCCATCCCACTGGCTCCCAAGCCCCAAGTCACCCTGCCTGGACCGGAAGGAGGCAGGCCCTGTCTGCCCTGCGGTGTCACCTTGGGGACAGCTGACTGGAAAACGATGTTGCGGATGGGCTGCGGAGCGGTGCTCAACATAGAAACCACCACCACCAGCACGTCTGAGCGCCCTGGCAGCGGGTCTCGGGCGAAGTGGAAGAGGACACGGAAGCCGTGCTGGTCATACACGGTCACAGGCAAGATGCTGCCTACGGGGAGGGGGAGGAGAGGGGAGGACAGTGGGTGGCCAGACCTTGCCTGGACTCCTGGGGCAGCACACTGGGTCTGATGGTAGAGGTGACACCCAGCCTGCAGCCGAGGCACAGCCCAGGTTCACTGCCATGCTGGGTAGGACTGGTACACGCTTAGGTCATGTTCTCACTGTGTGACCCTGTTACAGTCCCTCCCCTTCTCTGGGCTCAGGGTCCTCCTGCTGGTAAGACCGGGAAACCAAGGGTGTGACACCCTGAGTCACAGTGAGGTCACAGAGATGGATGATGCCAAGGACCGGCCGGTCCTGTCTGCTCAGGGCCTGTACCAGGCAGGAGATGCCCCAGGCCCAGAGTTGGGTCTTTATCACAGTCTGACTTCAGAATCTCAGGGAGGCCCCAAACCTGGGAGGCAAGGGGGTGCAGGGCCGTCTGAAGTTGTCCTGTGTGACCGTGTGGCCTGATACTTTGGAGCAGCTATGTGTGGAGACTGAGGCTGGGAAGGGGAGGGCTCACTGGTGGCGGGGCCTTAGGAGAAGGGAGCTGGCTGGCCGGCCGCACCCCACTCACTGGGTTTGATGGACTCCAGGGGCACAGTGACGCTGGCCAGGGAGAGCTCGGTGGGCACAGGCTGCTGCAGGGGTCCCGGAGGCTCTGGGGACCCGGCGTGGAGGAGGCTGGCAGGACCCGAGCTGGATGAGGCGCAGGTGCTCTTGTTCTGCAGGTCTCGCAGTGTGAGCCGGGGGGCCGGCTGCTGCTTCTCCCTTATTGGGGGACAGTGCATCAAGAAGGGATCCTTTGCGTGCTGAGACCATGGACCAGGAGATGCTAGCCCTTCCCTTCCCCTGCACTGTGCCATGCCCAGCGTCCTCCCTGCGGCTGGCCATCCCTCTTGGTCTTTCTCTAGGGTGCTGGACTCCTAAGGGCGTTGAGTGGGCACATCAACTCTGTGCTCTGGGGACCACTGCTGAGCCTGCCGTGGTCACTTCTTGTCCCCAGAGCAAGTGCAGTGCTTTGCACATAGTGGGTGCCCAGCACCTAGGGCTCCTGGAACAGCCAGGGATGAGCCTGTCCTTGTCAGGGGCTCCTGCTCTGTGGGGACAGGGATGGCTCCCACACTGTGCCACACATGGCGGCCCTCACCACCGCACTTGCTGGGCCTCAGGCGGCAACGACTGCTGCAGGAGGGTCTTCCCCAGGAGGTCCAGGTCATCCAGGCCGCCGCTCTGTGCCATGGGCTGGCTGTCCGTGCTGGGGGCCTGGGCCGGAGTGGGGACTGGGGGCTCAGCGCCATCCGAGGACTGTGGGGCAAAGAGAGCAGGTGGATAGGGCTCTCAGAGAGGCAAAACAGGGCGTCTCAGAGAGACAAGAGCCACTGGCTGTGCCTGCCCTCCCCGCAAGTGACATGGGAGCCCCATCTCAACCCTGAGACTGGGCTGTGGCCCAAGGCCAAGAGGAGGTGAGAAGTACTGGCTGCCTTCCTTCTCCCTGGGGTGGGCGTCTTGGTCCCTTGGGACTCCCCCTAGCCCTCCACCCCCTCACTGTCCCTGACTTGGGGGCAGGGATAGGTCAGGCTAGTTCCCTCCTACCTGGAAGCTGTTCCATCCAGCCCCGTCCAAACTGGGGCCTGCAGGGGGCGTGGGGTCACTCAGGCCTGGGGAAATGGGGGAGACAAGGCTGGAGTGGGGCGCTGAGGCAATGGGGCTATGTGCTGGCTTGGGGTTCCTGGTACAGCCCCCTTTTCTGAGAGGCGTGGCTCAGAGAGGGGAAACCTGAGTCCTGCCTACCCATCCTGCAGCCATGCTCACTTCCTCTTCCCCCAGCTTGGTGACACAGCAGGACTCTCTGCTCTGACCCAAGCTGATAGGAGGGGAAGTGGTTCCCAACCTCAGGATCCAGGTGAACAGGGGTCAGCACTGTGCCCACATGATGGCAAACCCACACATTCTGAGTCACCATGGGGAGGGCACTGTGCCAGCCGAGCCTCAGTGTCCCCATGTGTATAATGATGGGGTAGACTGAGGGCCCTGGGACTGGTCTGCTGACCACCCTGCCAGCTGCCCCGAGTTCACCCCAGACTAGACCTAGAGAAGATGTTATCCAGTTTCTAGCAAATCCTGGTGTGTGAGGGCCAGAGCAGTGTTCTCTGGCAGGCAGAGGTGACCACTAACATCTGTCACGCCCCAGGGGCTGGCCACGCTACAAGTGGGTCTCCCTCAGTCCACAAACAACCTGAAGAGGCAGGTGTGGGCTGGGCTGTGGATGCAGCTGAGCGGCAGAGGACTCAGTACCACAAAACAGAAACAAAAGGCAGGGATGAGGAAGGGGATGCCTGGAGGGGTTACATGACCAACCCCGGGCCACGCAGCAGGAAAGCAGCCAAGTCCAGATGTGCTCTGAGCACAGCCTGATTGCTGGGGTCGGACACAGCTCTGCCACTCTGCTGAGAGACCCAGGGCTGACAACTTAGCCTCTTGGGCCTCACCTCTCTAAAATGAAGCCACAGCAGCAGCTACCTTAAAGTATGTCTGTGATGAACCAGACACGTCAACAGAACACTTGAGGGCTGACAGGAGCCTGTCCCACCACCCCTCCCCGCCACCAAGGGAGCATGCAGGACCAGCACCCCTTGAGGCCCCAGGCTCTCTCCAATCCCCAGGGTGGCTGCAGTCTGGCTGGCCCTTTTGGTTCCTGTTCCCCTACTTATAGCCTTTAAGAAACCAGAAGGAAGCTAGGGGCTCAGGGCTGCGGAAGCAGCTGGGGGCAGGAAGTGCAAAGCACACCTTACTTCTCCTGTGGGGGGCGGGTCTGCCACCACTGCTGCTGTCACTTCCCTGTCCACTACTGCCCATCTGGCCCTACTGGGCAGGATGTGTCCTGGCCCCTCGCTCTGCACCGTCCTCTGCCTCTGGGAAACAGGTTGGGGGCTCTCTCCCTCACCACCCTGGCTCAGAATGAGGCCAGGAGCTGGGTGAGGCTCCTACACCAGACTCTTAGGTAGGTGCTGGTCAGGGCCACTCCCTCTATCTCATCCTCCTCACTCTAGTCCTCCTTTTCCTTCTTTTCCAACAGATGGCAGGTCAGAGCAGTGAAGTGGCTCAGTGGGCGATGGTAGACTCTCAGCCCCTACTTCACTGCTGGAGCCTGGCTACTGCTGTCTTCATCTGTCCACTGAGGACACAGACAGCTCTGCCTCTTGAGGTGGTGGGGAGGATTGCCTGGGCCAAGGTGGGGCACAGTAGCAGCACCTCGTTGGGCAGACTGCCGGACCCCAGGACCCCCATCACCTTGTGCATGCTAGGCGGCCACCCCACCACTGAGCTGAACCCCAGCTCCGGGTTCAATTTTTTTTTTTTTCCAGGTTCAATTTTGTTTCAGAAGTGGCTCAGGAGAATAAAGTGTGACTCGGCCTCTGCACCACTGTCCCTTCAGATTGCCCCAGCACCTCTCGCTGCTTTACCCAGCTCCATCAGGAGGAGGCTGTGACTTCTTGCCTCTTCTTCCCTGCTCTCGGGTGGCTGGCTGGGCCTGCTTTCCTCCTATGGGGTGATGCTGGTCTCCTGCTGAGCTCTGGTACCCCTAGTCTGACCTGCAATAAACTGCAGCCCTGGCCTGGGCTTGTCCCGAGCTTCTGGGGGTTTTGGAGTGAAGCTCCCTTCCTCCTGGGTGGAGAAACTGCCAGGCTTTTGCCTGGACAGCCCCAACTCTAGGTCCAGCCTGCTGCAGGGAAGTCCCTCAGCTGTCCTGGGTCTGGAACCTGGGTGTGGCTGGCTTGTCAGCAGGCGGATCAGGCTGGCTGGCTCACCCTATGACTGTGGGCACTGCTCTGAGCTTCCCTGAGCCTTGGCCTCCTCAGCTGTGACGTGGCCTAGTGCCCACCCCACGCCTCCGATGGGTTCATGTCTGAAGCACCTATGCTGTTGCTCAGCTGGCTGTGAGGGCAACCCACCACTGAGCCTGCCCCTTCCTCCACCCAGCCCTTCCTCACCCAGAGACATGAGCTCGTCATCAAGCAAGGAAACTGAGGCGGTGGGCTGCTTGGGACTGGCTTGGTCGCCAGGGAGGGTGGGCATGGCTGGATAGGTGGTGCCTGCAGGAGGGAAATCCAGGCCTGAGAGGTCCAGCAGGGCCGAGGTGCTCCCTGGGGTGGGAAAGGACAGGGGGTAAGTCCTGGGTGGCATGCAGCTCTCAGGGCGCTCTGGGTTTTGTGGTAATGACACCCACCTTCCTGCCCTCCCCGGGAGCCTCCACCTACACCAGCCTGTGTCTGGAACCTGCCCGCTGGGCCCTTTCTACAGCACAAGGGTGCTTCTGTTCGGAATGAAGTTATGCCCCAATTAATGACAGGGCCACATTCTGAGAAACACATCACTGGTGTGAGCAGCGGGAAGGAGTTACACAGTAAGGTCAGCCAGGACACCACTGTTATGTGATCTTTTTTCTTTTTTTGGTACTGGGGATCGAACTCGGGACCTTGCTCGTGCAAGGCAGGCAGTGGAACCACTGAGCTACATCCCCGGCCCTCTGCTATGTGATCATATGGGACCACGGCTCTCTGCAGCCCCACCCCGACCTCAGCGTCGTCGTTGTGCAGGACACCGCTGTATTCCTTGATTGTCCCTTGGCCAGGGTCACCCGTCCTTGGAGCTCTACATACGCTTTACTGCCTCTGTGCAGCACGCCCGCCTCTCCTCCCCACTAAGGCCACTTCCAGCCTCTTCTGTGATCCCCAGGGCTGCCACTGTGGCCTGATTAGAGCAGAGACTGTGATGTTTTGTGTTCCATCCTCCCTCCTGCTCTCTGATCACTAAATCAGGCTTCGGGGCTGTCGTCCAGCCCTACCACTGGTGCCAGATTTGTCAAATGAAGAAAAGCCTGCCTTCTTCACCCATCCTTGCCACCCCCTCTGGCCCAGACTTCCTCTTCCACAGCTGCAGGCCTGGCACAGGCTTCAGCTTGGCTCCCTCCCGGGCCCTTCCCTATCTTAAGGGGCTAGGGTCACCCTGGCAGTCCTGTCACCAGCTCTGGGGCCTGTGTGGCACCCCGCAGCCTGGAGCCCGCACCCCCCCTTTGCTCACCCCCTCCTCACCAGGAATGGAGCCAGCCGTGGTGTCGCCGTTGACCTCCTCACCCCGCACCAGCTGCTTGTACAGGTTGATCACCTGGGTGAGGTTGTCATTGGCCTGCAGGATCTCCGCTGCAACGGCAGAAGGGAAAGGCTGGCTGGAGACATGCTGGGGCCTCTGGGAGGGAAGATGAGTGCCCCCTCCAGTCTGGCTTCTGTGAGGGGAGAGGCTGGAGCACCCCATCTTGTCCACGGAGACCCAGGCCCTCTGTTCCTCCATCTTGCTCACTCCCTCTGCCACACTGCCTGGCTGTCCTGGAATATGCTGGGCACACTCCCCTTCAGGGATCTGCACTGCCCCTGCCATCCCGACACCCTTGCATTTCCACACAGCTTCATCCCTTACTGCTCTCTGGTCTTTAGCTTCTCCATCTGCTTCAGGCCTTCCCTGATCCCCGTCCTGCACCGCCTCTCCCTTCCACCATCTGACAAACTGCCACTGTTTGGGGCTGTGGCTTATCGCCCATCTCCTCTCATGCGCTGCAACCTCTGAGAGGAGGCTTTGGTCACCTGGGATCATGGGCCTATCCCCAAGGGCCCAGAACAGTGCCTGGTACAAGCTAGGTCCTCACACGCTGCCTCCTTGGGTGCCAGGGCAGCAAGCTCCTTGGGTGGGAACTAGGTGCCTGGGCCATGGGAAGGGCTCTGCACACTGCTGCAGGAGGGGAGGAGATGCCCACGGGGCTCTGGCTGACAGCAGGCAGAGATAAGGAAAAGGACCTGTGGCCCTGGCAGAAGCCACAAGGCTCAGCTCTGGAAGTGCTTGGGCTGCAGGATCCATTCTGGGTTTTCAGCTCTTTTTTTCCCCTTTGTTTGCAGTACTGAGGATTGAACCTAAGTTGAACTACATCCTCAGCCTTCCTATTTTTTATTTTGAGACAGGCTCTTGCTAAGTTGCCCAGGCTGGGCTTGAACTTGTGATCCTCCTGCCTCAGCTTCCCAGAGTGCTGGGATTATAAACCTACACCTTCAGGCTGGGCTTCCAGCTCAATCTTGCCAGGGAGGTATCACTGGGAGGAGGCAGGGGGAGGCACACAGCCCTCGGTCCACCCTACATCCCCTACCATGCTGTCAGTCATTCCCTCTCTGAGCCCCAGCTGTAACAAGGACATAGTCCTCCTTCTCTGCAGCTGGTGGGCAGTGAGTGAGACGCCTGCTAATGAGTTTGGCTCAGAAGCCTCTTGGGGCGGCAGTGGCAGCCTTTACTCTGCTCCCTTCTTTCTAGCGGAGAAACCCAAGTCAGTGCTGGGGAAGGCCGTCCCCTAGTGGACTCTCCCTGCAACTGCAGGTGCCTGACAGGGCCCGGGGGGTGGGGGGTGGCGTGGACAACGCTGGACCCTCCTCCGACTCCTGCCCTGGGCTCACCTAAGGCCTCATCATTGTCTTCTGTGTCGCTGGCCAATCGGAACAGCGTGGGCCGCATCCGCTCACAGCGCTGGTACAGTTCCTGGGGGCAGCAGGGTGGGCACGTCAGGTCCCAGGGGGCTCTGGCGTGGGCCAGGTGGGGAGGGGACAGCGCACCTTCATGAGGTCCTCGCTGCTGCTGGCTGCCGCTGCACTGCCCTGGCTGTGGTTCATCACCATCTCTGTCAGCAGCTTCACATTATTGTTCACCTCCTCAATGGCGTTCACCCGCTTCGAGATCTTCTCCATCCGCTTCTGGTCCTGGGAGGCCGAAGCAGACAGAGATTGCATCAGGCACTGCCCACCCCAAAGAGGGCACATGGGTCTGGCTGTGATGCTGGTTCTGTGTGGGGCTCGCTATGCCCAGGACAGGGCATGCCAGTCTTGGAAGCCCTTTGCCAACCCTGTGGTCACTTCTGCCCATGCTGCCAGCACCCCCAGGCCCAGTCTCTGCAGGAGCTCATTGAATCAGGGTGGCTGGGGAGCTGCGCTTCCTGTGGTTCTTCTGAAGGGCCAGGGCCTGAGACCCACAGCTGGGCCTAAGTGACCCCTGTGTCTGGTCCTTGAAAGGAAGGTCCCATGCTCGGCAGCTAAAAGGGACTGCTGTGGTCACCAAACACCACCTAGCAACAAGTGCAGTGCTGCTCCCAGTGTCTGTGGGTGCCCAGCAAATGTGGGCCTTTAAAGATGGCTGCAGGAGGGCCGGGGATTTAGCTCAGTGGTTCCTCCGCCTGCCTCGCAAGCACAAGGTCCTGAGTTCGATTCCTGGTACCAAAAAAAAAAGATGGCTGCAGGAAGTGACCCCATCCCCTCACCCAGTCTTCTCACTGGGCACAACTTCCCTCTCAGAGGGACAGGTGGGCACAAGCTCTGCTGCGGGCAGAACCGCCCTCCGTGGCAGGGCACAACGCATGGCCCCTTCAAGACAACCCCAACTTGTGCCCTCTGGCCCCTGGGCTCATCCTCCAGAGCCTGCACAGGACACCCAGAGGGGCATCCGGCAGTCAGTCTAGGACCAAGCTGATGCCTGGCCCACCAGCCCAAGACTGAACTTGCCTCCTAGGAAGGACCAGCTGGCAGCTTCTGTGGGGTCCACGCTTCTTATGGGCCTCACAAGGTCCAGGCTGACCTTGAACTCACTAGTCTGCATTGGCCTCAAACTCTCAGCGATCCTCCCCTCAGCCTCCTGAGTGCTGGGATTAGAGGTATGCACCACCACACCTGGCTTGTGAACTTTTTGATGACTTTCCCTTATCAATAAAATATTCAGAGCTAGGCTTGTGGCACATGCCTATAATCCCAGCACTCCAGGAGATGGAGGCAGGAGAACGGCAAGTTCAAACCCAGACCAATTCATTTTTCTTTTGCAGGGCTGGGAACAGAACCCAGGCCTTATGTGGGCCATGCCAGTGATCTACCACTGAGCCACGCCCACTCACAGTTCCCTTCTATCACCAGGGCCTCACAGAAGCCTGTGCAGGGTTAGCAAGGGCAGGTAGGAAACTGGTCCCCTAGCGGCAGCCAGTTCTTTGCTGTGATGGCCCTGCAGGAGCCCAGCCTGTGCACATGCTGGCCCCAGAGCCACGCCCTGCCCGCCTCACCTCCTCCCCGTGTTCTGGGCCCTGCCTCACCTCCTGCACCATCTCCTTGATGAGCTTGTTGGCCGCACGGAGGTCCTCGGGGTGGGAGCTCTTCAGCAGGCGTGCCAGCATCTGCAGGGACAGGTGTGTGACTGTGAGGGCCGTACCAGGCTGAGGGCCATAGGCCAGCACCCCAATTCCCGGCCTTGGGACCTGAGCAAGTTGCCAAAGCTCTCTGGGAAGTGGCAGGAATCTACCAACAGCTGGTGGCTGTCCTTATGAACAAGAGATGCTATAAGCGAAGTCCTCTCCCTAAAGCCTGGGGGAGGGGAGTCCTGTGTCACCATGGCTTTCTGAGAACCTTCCGGGGCATGTGGTCACCCTCTGGAGCCAGCAGGGCTGGGGAGAGGCATCCACTTCTACCTTGTTTAGTCCTTACTATCTAATCTGCAGTTTTGTGGGGTTTTTTGGTACCAGGGATTGAACTTGGGCCCTTATGCTTTCGGGCAGGCTGCAGAACCACTGAGCTAAATCCCCGGCCCTTATCATCTAATCTGTTATTACATAATGACATGCAAACTCAGGAGGGCATGGTGGTGATTGCGCCTGTAATCCCAGCACTCGGGAGGCTGAGGCAGAAGGATGAGGATAGCCATGAGTTTGAGGTAATCTGCACAGTGAATTCATTACATAGTGAGTTCAAGGCTGGCCTGAACTACATAGCAAGACCCTGTCTCAAAAAAAGAAAAACAAAAAGACAAAAAAAGACATGCCAACACTTCAAGCTAACCCAAGGACATCTCCTGTGTGTGTATTAAATGTGTGGGACATACTTGGCACCATGAAATGCTGGATAAATGATGCCTGGCACCCCCTACAGGGACTGTGCTCCATATGAGCCTCTGCTCCAAGTGGCCCAAGAGCCCAGTCCTCCCAGTGGTCTCACCTTGGACTTCTCTTCATCTTCAAAGATCATGTTCTTGGGCCTCGGAGGAGGCTGGGGAAAGATGGCATCCTCCGGAAGCCTGGGGTCGGACTTCACAATGCCTGGAGTAGATGGGGTCAGGAAGGCGGTCAGTAGGTCCCTGGCCAGGGGCAGTGGGGAGATGGGGATGGGGTAGGATAGAAGGGAGGTAGGTCTTTCTCCAGCATGCTGGGCCCAGACCTGAGGGGCCAGCCGTCCTCTGAGCTGCGCATCAAACTGTGTGGGAAGAGGGACTGAGCACCCGAATTTTGAGGCAACGCTCAGAGGTGAAGCTTGACCCAAACCCACCTTTTCTCTACCCAAGCTGGCCTCAGGCACAGCACCCAAAGGCCCCACTGGCCATGTGTTCTCTAGAAGTCAAGGGCAGACCATGACCTCGATGGCCTGAAGCCCCTGAAACTGCTGGAACCCAGCAGCGGGCAGGGGGCCTCACCCTGCTTCTTCAGCATCTGGTAGGCCTCTGTGATCTTCACCTCCTCGGGCAGGCCAACTGTCCAGCTGTACAGCAGCTCTAAGACCTTGTTCTTCACCTTCTCTGACGTCCGGGAGCCCAGGTACTTCAGGGGGAGGAGAGGGACACTGTGACACTGCCCAGCCCTTCTTGTGACAGCCCAAGCCAGCTGTCTCCCCTGGGAACCCTCTGCCTCCAGGGTCCTCAAATCTCTGCCCAAGCAGCCCGGGGTAAACTGAGTTCACCTCCTAGCTCTGCCACTTACTGCCCAAGTCAGCCCGTGTGACTCAGTTTCCCCACTGTGAAGATAAGCTGACCAGGGAAGGCTTAGGGCACAGCACTTTCCCACAGGCAGCTCATGGACAACTCTGTGACCTTGAGAAGGAGCCAGCGGCTTCCAGCTGACTATGGAAGGGGCAAGTGTGGAACTGAGGGCCTGGGCCCCACATGCCGCTGCTAGCAGCAAACCGGGCTGGGAGAGGCTCTCACTCTCCTGGGAGGGAAATGGGGCCAGGGGGTCATTCAGCAGCTCTGGTCACAGAATGGGCTGAGCGAGGAGTGGTGAGAGATAGCACTCATCCAGGGCCACTGAGCATGTTCCTGCCCACAGAACTCCTCACACCAAAGGCCAGAGTGGGGTCTGGCCATCTGCCAGCTCAAGTTTGTGGCTTGGATGCCAAGGCCCAAGGAGGCCACTCCTGGATGGTGGGGACTGAGAGGCCTTGTGCCAGAGACCAAGTGGGGCGCTGTGGCCAGGAGCCGGTCAAGTCATCCTCCAGTCACGTCAGAGAGCTCAGTGGCACCTGCCACCTCCCTCTGGCCACCGGGAAAGGAAAGGCTCTTTCTAAAGCCCCAGGCAGTCCCCAACCCAGCTGGGAAAGGGCCTGTGAGAAAGCCTCTGTGTCTGCTGAGTCCAAGTTCAAAGGACCCAGGGGAAGGCCGGTTTGGGGTCCTCCACCCTTGACTGACATCCCACAGCAGGTCTGAGCGTGGGCCAGGGCACACACCTTGGGGGACACAACCTTGATGAGCTCGTTCAGGAAGCGGAACTTGCCCACCTCATCATGGAACCTCTTGCCGCAGGTCTTCATGCATGTTTCCAGCACCTGACAGCAAAGGGCATGAGAAGAGCAGGAAGGACGGCAGGAAGCAGCCCCCTCTCCCGATCTAGCCAGCCCAGGAAGGAATGACCTTGAGGACTGAGGATGTGGAGGTTCCTAGGGCCTTGGGACCGGTCAGCAGCCCCTGGGGCACAGGGTCAGGGATGTGGAGTGACGGGCACTGCCCTCTCCATGACCACATCTGAGCAGCCCTGCACGTTATCTTCTCACTACTTTTCTCACTTAAAAAAAATTAATTTATTTATTGCAGTGCTGGGCATTAAACCCAGCACCTTGCACACATTAAGTAAATACTCTACCAATGAGCTACATCTCCAGCCCACTGTTCTTCTTTTTTAAATTAATTTGGCACCATCTACTTTGGCCTTTTCTTTTCCCAAACTATATCTGGGAAACCACAGGGCTCCTGTACACTTGAGAAATAAAACTAACATACTAAATAAAACATACAATTATTAAAAAGAAAAACTTTATTCTCCCTGCCTAGGAGCAGCTTTGTTCTAAGGTGGCTGGGGTGTGGCCCCAGCACTGACAGCCTGCCATCCTCATCTGCTACTGGCACAGCTGTGACACCTCAGGCCTGAGCATGGGGTCCCCTCTGCACCTCCGTGGGTAAGACAGTGCTGTCCTAGGTCTGGAGACCCTGGGAGGGCTGGGCACTCTTGCAGTGAACTTGGGGGGCTTTGTAGACTGGCAGATTTCTGGACGCACATACTGAAGTGGTGCTCATTCAGTAGGTCTGGGTGGGGCCCTGAATTAGGGATTGAACCCAGGAAGTGGTGAGCTATACCCCCAGAACTCCTCCTCATTCTCAAATTTTGAGATAGGGTCCCAATAAGTTGCCCAGGTTGACCTTGAACTTAAGATGCTCCTGTTTCAGCCTCTGGAGTAGCTGAGATTACAGGTGTGCACCACCATGCCTGGCTTGACTCGGGAGTTTAACATACCTCCCAGAGAGGCATCTTGCTGTGCAGCTGAAGTGGGGAACCCTGGCTCACTGGACCTCATTGGGGGTCCCCCCAACAACAGGGCTACATGTACAGACTCTGGGGCAGAAGGCTGCTGTGGGACCCTGAGGCTGGCCCAGACCTCCATCCTGGGCCACCTGGTCACAACTCCCTTGGGCTCTAGACAGAGCCTTATAGAACCCCAAGGACCTCAGTCTTGCCCTCCCCTGGCACCATCACCTGGTTGGAGGACAGGGAACAGACACCCTTTCTCCCCTTCTCACCGTCAGGGCCTGGATTGACTCCCACTCCTGTGGGGACTGGATCTTGTGGGCCAGCAGCCGGGTGGCAAGTGGAGGCCTACATGAGAGGAACAACAGAGCCAGGATTTCGGTGGAGCCCCAGGCCCTCCACAAGAAGACCACTGTTGCCAGGGATTTAGCTCAGTGGTGCCACCGCCTGCCTCAAAAGCGTAAGGGCCCAAATTCGATCCCCGGTAAAAAAAAAAAAAAAAAAAAGAAGGCGACTATATTAGCCTGCAGGGACTTCAGCCCTCTGCAGCATCTGCAGGCACAAGGAAAGGCCCAACTTGCTCTGTGGATCAGATGGGGATCTGGGATGGTGGTGGGGCGGCTAGGCACGGCCCCTAAGAGGTGTGAACGCAACCCCTCTGCTGGCTCTAAGAACCACATGTTCTGTCTCTGGCTCACTGTAGGGACAAGTAGAGCATGCGACCACAGCCTTCATAGGCCCACGGTGGGAGCAAACCATGATGATACACCAGGACAACTGGGTGGATACAGCTTCCTGGGAACTCGAGGGAGCAAGAGACATTCTGCTGGGGGAAATCAGAGCTGCTCCAAGGTGCCTACCAGATTCTAAAAGCCCTGTCATCAGTGACAGTGTGGACTAGCACTGTCAGGAAGTAACAGCACCAATAGCATATGAGGTGCTTCACACGCCCTTTCCTGCCCGACCTGCACAAGGGGAGGAAGCCTTTGGAACCTCCATGGAAGGAGGTTCTCACCCAAGGTTACTCAGCTGAGAGAAGATGGGCTTCTCCCATGGGCCTGACTCCCCAGCACTTGTGTCATGCATAGGTCACCTGCACCCATGACAGGGGGTGGAGGGAAGGTACACAGAGCTGTGGTCCCCAGGCTTCAGCACCTCCTGGGAGCATCCACTCCCAACCCTCAACCCCAGGGTCAAGTGTGGGGTGGCTCAGAGCGCACTCTGGATGAGCCCTCTGGTGGTTCTGGCTCTTCCCTGAGCGATGGGCCACCAGGTGAGCATGCAGCCCTCCCTCTGGCAGGCCCTCCACAAACCTCTGGCTGAGGGACAGCCTGGCCTGGGCTTGACATGCTCAGAACTGCCACTGTCTGCTTGCCACTGAGATCTTGGGGCAAACTGCCAAGTCCTTGAGCCTTGGTTCCCCAAGGAACCAAGGGTGACACACAAGTAGCCCTCACACAAAGGGCCTGCTCTTGTGCCCAGCTGTGAATGTGTTAGCAGGGAAGCTGGTCTCAAACTAGCCAGGTCTTTCTGTCTGGGGCCTGGAGCACATGTGACTGGGTTCTATGGTCACATGGTCTATTGAGTGTGGCAGCAAATGCAGGGGGCCACCTACCCCTCAAAGTCCTCGTTGAGCTGCTCGCAGAAACCGTTGATGCTGGCCCAGTTCAGCTCCTTGTTCAGGGGGTTTGTGGCTCTGTCTGTAGGAGGAGAGGGGTTGAGTGTGGCCAGGCAGCCGCAGCCCTGAGCGCAGATGTTCCAATGGGGGAAAGGGACAGATGAGCACTTGGCTGCCGGCTTCCTCGCAGCTGCCCACCAGTGGGCCCCACTTTTAGAGGCTGTGCCCAGGGCTACTCTTTGTCCCACTGCCTCCGCTCTGGGTGGTACCCCGTCATGCCATCTTTTTTTTTTTGGTACCGGGGATCGAACTTGGGTCCTTGCGCTTGCACAGCAGGCGGCGAAACCACTGAGCTAAATCCCAGCCCCATGCCATCTTAACCTTCTGATTTTGCTCATAAAAACCACGGTCCTACCATTCTCACAGAATTTGTGCTGAGATCCAGGGGTGAGGGGGGAAAAAAGCCACAGGCCCGCCCTCAAGGAGTTCATGGCCAAGCAGGGGCCCCAGGGGAGCTAGGTCCTTAATGAAGTGTGACAGAGGGAGGCAAGGGGCTGGGGGGAACTGGGTTAGCCTGGAGCCAGGGAGGTGGCACTCAAGCAGAAACTGAATGGACATACTCAGGCAGGGAGGGCTGGTTCTGACCAGCTCAGGCTGCGAAGGAGACACATGGATCCCTGCACTCCAGGCAGACCATGAAGGGCCTTGGAAGAAAGTGTGGGTTTTACCCCCATGCTGGGGTCAGAAACCCCGGCTTCCCAGGAGAGGCTCAAGTCACCTCCTCCAGGTAGTCCTCCTGGCCCTCCACTCCTGCCCAAGGGGACAATGCTGGGTCAGTTCTTCATCCCTCAGGCTGTCCCTCACGGTGGCCCAGCCACTTGCGCACACACCTGCCTCCCCTCCTTGGGTGAATGAATGAAGGATCACTGTGCCAGGAGGGGTTGGGGTTTGGGGACATCTGATTCAGGAATGGGTAGTGGCCAGGACAGGGCAAAAGGTCTACAGGAAGGGATGGCAAACAAGGCCTAGCTAGCTCTGACATTGGTTAGACAGCAATCTACTAGGTCACATAACTTCCACACTTATAAAGTTGGAGTGAAATATGGACCAGCTTCAGTTGACAAAATTCTTCAGGCATGGACAGGCTGCGGGGGAGCCAGAGCTGGGCCCTTGCTTCCCCATAGCCTGTCTCTTGGCTTCCCCGTCTCCAACCAGTTCTGTCCCGGTCAAGCACTGAGCGGGGTGTGGCGGTAACAGCCCAGGAGGAGGGGTAGGAGGAGGCTGGAGACCCAGCATGTGACACCTGCCCAGTTCTTAGGGCCCTGTGCTGTGACCAGGGTGCCTGAGGCGCGGGATCCCCCTGTCTGGCAACCATTCACTCCACTCGTATTTATTCAATAAACATTCTAGGTGCTTGAGCTATAGCAGCCAACAAGACAAAACCCTCCTAAAGCTCAGGCCTAGGAAGAGAAACACTGAACACTCAGGTTAACAAATAAACACAGAATACTTTTGCATGTTTTTTTTTTTTGGTACCGGGGATCAAACTAGGGTCTTTGCGCTTGCGCAGCAGGCGGTGAAACCACTGAGCTAAATCCCCAGCCCTTAACACAAAATACTGAAATGTGGTGAGGGGAACAGAGGAACGCAGACTAGGGTTTGGGCTGCTCCCCAGGCGGTGCGGTCGGGCAGGGATGGGAATGAAGTGTTTTCTCTCTTGGTACAAATCTTGATTCCGGAAGGCCTGCAGGACCCTCCAGTCCCTCTGAGGAGCAGAAGGTCAGCCCTGCTGACCGCTGGGGCCCCTCAGGAGCGCACTCACTCTGGGCAGGAGAAGGTGTCTTGAAGGCATCTTATGTCCTCTGCCTCCCAGTCTCCCAACAAGGGCCAAAGGCTGGACACACCAGCCTGGAGTTAGAGACAATGAAAGGGACACTGCCTGCTGGATACCCAGTTGTGGGGACCCTAAAACAGGAAGTCTCTTCAAGTGTCAAAGACATGTGACCCTGAGCAAGGGTGGGGAAGCTGAGTCTGGAGCCAGCTCTTGAGTCAGAAACTGGCGACAGGAAGCCCCGGCCTCATGAGACACCAGCTTTCTCCCCTGCAACTGGCTTTCATCGAGGACCTCTGAGTCCAAAGAGAGCTGACCCACCTCCTGGAGCCCTGGGTCCCCAGTCCTTTCAACTTGCCCTAGGGGAGCACCTTCAAAGGCAACAGGGAACCTCACCAGGGGAGAGACAGCTATTTCACAAGTGTGTGACTCCACCCTGTCACTCCATAGTGGTGACAATGTCATCATTTACCCCACCAGAAGCTCCTCTTTACTTTCAAAACTCCACTAGAGAAAAGCTCACATTTTGCTGTAACACAAAGGTAAAGAAAAAGAGAAAACAACCTGAGCATTAACCTGTTAGGCTCGAGTATCTCCAACTTCTGCCTGTTTCTGGCCTCTGGCCTCTCTGAAAATCCCTAGCAGCTAAACCTTAAACTGTTTTCCCATGCTGGGGATGGAACCCGGGGCCACAAGCAGGCCAGGTAAGTGCTCCACCGCTGAACTACACCCCCAGCCCTTATCTAGAGCTTACATCCTACAGCTTATCTGAGATCAGTGAGCTAGGGCCCTGCCTATCACCCCAAGTTGAGTGTGCTGCTGAGACCTGGGCACTTGTGCTTGTGGCATTCTGAACAGTCAAAGGCCGCTGAGTGCGTCCTCCCCACCCCCCATCACTCTGAAACATCCCCAGGGAATGTGTGGTTCTGAGGCCAACTTCAGGGGTCAACTCTGCTCAAGGCTGGCCTTGAGCCCAAGCCATACTAAGTAGCTCCTGGAGTGCTCAGGCCCAAGAGGCTGACCTGGGGGTAGACAGATTGGAGGCTTCCCTGAGGACCTGGCACAGACAAGGGTCCAACAGGAGGTAAAGCCTTAGGAGAGAGCTGTCACTAGAGCGGGGAGAAGCAAACCACACCTTCCAGGGGGCAGAGTCCAGGGATGTGAGGGCTGAGGATCCCCTGGGACAGGGAGCTGCGGTGGAAGCTTGACTGGTAAGAAGCTGCCTCTGAGGAGACATAGGAAGAGGTGCAGAGGCCTCTAAGCAGGAGCTGCGAAAGGAATCCTGGATGGACGTGCAGGGAAGAAGGGCTTGGCTGGGGGTAGTGACAATGAACTGGGCTTACTTATGTAGTCTGAGACGGGGCCCTCCCAAGCCTGTAGGGTCTGGGGGTTTGTCACGGTGTAGCCAGTGCTTGGGGGGCAGCTGGGGGATGAGATGGGGCAGGGAGTCCTCCCCTTCCTGGGCAGGGAAGGAGCAATATCTGAGAATAGTTGCAGGCTCAAGGATCGGGCAGGAGGGAATCACACAGAGCAGGGCCCAAGAGGGATACACTGGGGGGCTCGAGGAGAGAAGGGTCCGTCCCTCCCGCGTATGAGATGCAGTCCTGAGAGTGCTCGCTTGCTCCCTCCCGGGGCCAAGGGAGACTTGGGGGCCCGCACTTCGAGGGAGCAGCCTGGGCCTGCGGGGACTGGGGCTGCTCTCTGGGTCCCGGAGGTTACAGGTGAAGCTCGCTCCTTGCCCAGGGGGCGCACAGCTGGCGGGGTCTCCTCCACGCCAGGGCCCGTGGGGTGGATTTGGGGCACCTCCCCTCCTGGGCCGAGGGCGGGGCGTGAGGAGGGGGCGCCGCGTACCCCGCCCCCGCCGGGAAGGGGACCGCCTCGCATCCCCGGTTCCGGTTCCGGTCCGGCCCGCGCCCCTCCTGGACACTCACTGATTCGCGCCTCCAGAGTCTCCGGCTCCATAGCTGGCTCCATCCGCCACAGGCCCCCAGCCTCGGCACCGCCCCCCGCCCCCCGCAGCTCTCGCGGGACCTCCTCGGCACCGCCCTCCACGGATTAAAGGGCCATCGTCCTCCCTGACGCTCGGGAGCGGCGCGCTAGAGCGCTGGGCATCATAGAGATGTCGGTGCGCTCGCCTATAGCGTCATGTGCTTGCCAGATCCCTCCCCTGGCGGCGGCTACGTCGCTGATGGGTTCCGTCGCCTGCCTTCCCGTTCCCGGCGCTCAGGCCGAAGGGGAAGCAGAGAGACCAGGGGCTGAGGCGGGCACCATGGAAACCCCACGGGACGCTCTAACTCCTGCGTCACGAAGATGCCTGTGATCGCTTCCGGAAGAATGCTCGGGGGCCATGTTTCTGAGGGGCTCTGAGGTCATTTCCGGAGCCCTGAGGGGTACTTCCAAAGGTGGGAGGGCCTCTTAAAAGGGTAATAACATACATTGGTGGCTGTGGAAATGACGAGCATGAGTCGATGGCTGGTGCTGCTATCTCCCAGGCATTGTTCTAAGCACTTTTTATACATCTTCACTCCTCACGACAGACCCGTGAGTCAGTTTGCTTGGGGTCACAGTGTCAAAGTCTGAACCCTATTGCATTGTATTCCCTACTGCATTCATTCTTCAAACATTTAATGAACTCAGTGCTTTTGTTTTGCTCCATGACAGGCACTGGAGGAGAGAGACAAGGCCAGATATTTGTTGCACAAAGTGATAGGAGAAGCCCCCGGGGTAGTGCAAATACAGGAGGGGCCCTTCCCCAAACTGGGGTGTTGGTGTGCGCAAGGGGGTGTTCTTGTCAGGAGAGAGTTCGCAAAGGAGGAGATGACTTAGTCGGACAGTCGGATTTCTCCAGGTAGACCTGGTGTGAAAAGATGTTCCGGACAGGGTAAGATGAGATAAGAGAATGAAAGTATTTCTGTAAGGTTCCATGAATTAGGCTGGGGCAAGATCACGCAGGTCCTGTGTTTAGCTTGTGTGTGTGTGTGTGTGTGTGTGTGTGTGTGTGTGTGTGTGTGTGTGTGTGTTTAAGCAATGTTGGGGGAATCGCTAAAGAGCTCTAAGAATGGTGAAAAAGTCAAGCTTTTAAGAGATCCATGCGGCTACAGCGCAGATACTGGTGGAGGACAGATCGCGATAGGAGAGGACAGGATGAACACACTCTCTAGACTTGGGGTCTCATGCTTCTCCCTACCGGCCTTTTCCAACCCCGGCCTCGCACCGCCCTGGGACGTCACCCCCGGGTAGCCGGGTCGGTTGCTCTCCGTCGCCCCCTGGCGGCCCATGGGCGAACCTGCCCTGGTGCCTTCTCCGGCCGGCCTGTGCCGCAATGAGTTGTTAAGGCAAAGCTGAGACTAGAACATCTGACAAATCCGGTTCTGTTGGACCAGCGCCTTGGTGAGTGACCTCGATTCACCTTGCAGAACCGCAGTGACTTCATCTGGGTCAGTTTTTCCCCTAAACTCACCCATTTAGCTGACTGGGACTCTAAATTCTCTCCCACAAGCCATTAAAATTACACAGGAAAGGGATTATGCATGTTTATTGCATTCTTAAAGGCCGTAACATAATATGTACTTGGAGCTGTTTCTTTTATTACTGAGATGGATTATTACTGAAATGAAACGCAAGCCACACTTACTGTGTTGATTTAGGGGCATATCCACGCTGTCAGAAGTCACTTTTCTATTCCTTTTTTTTTTTTTGTACCGGGATCAAACTCAGGACCTTGAGCTTTCGAGGCAGGCAGTGGCACCACTGAACTAAGTCCCCGGCCCCCTCTATTCCTGTTTTTTAGATACAAGGTCTTGCTATGTAGACCAAACTGGCCCTGAACTCACTATGTGACTCAGGCTGGTCTCAAATTTGAAATCCTCCTACCTCAGCTTCCTCCTCCTGAGTGGTGAAATCACAGGGCTAGATAGGCCACTATGTCCAGCTCAGAAGCCACCTTTTTTTTTTGTTGGTGCCAGGGATTGAACTCGGGTCCTTGTGCTTGCGCAGCAGGCGGCGAAACCACTGAGCTAAATCCCCTGCCCAAGCCACCTTTTAAAGACAGTGTAGCCGGGGATTTAG